TTTTATAGTTCTTCAGCCATTTACTTATGATTAAATAATACTAACTTTATTTTTTGCAAAATGGTGGGTCTTATTAACTTTCTATGCAGGGCTGACCCACCATATCCTTTTATGTTTATTTTGTTATTTTATACTCAAATTATATTTAGTTGTGTACGGACAAGAAACTAAATGCCACCGTATCTTGGAAAACTACCTATTCATTTCGGTGCGAGTGAAACTACTTGTCTTGTCCCATAACAAGAAGTAATTGTATTTTTATTTGTGTTTGGTGGACACGTGGGTGTCAAATATTTGCACTCATACCAGTATACTTGTATACTGACTCGTTTTGTCTCTTGGCATCTTAGGTGCGTTCTGTTTGAGCGCAGCCAAGCTTCCTTTGTATGATTAGTTGAGAGTACGGTGGTGACGAGAAATAACTATAGTTGTTGGACATGTCTTTCAGACTTTTTTTTGTTTTCTGGAGTCTAGAGTTTAGGGTTGATATTAGTTTATTTATTAATTTTTTTTATGACCTTAGTATTTTGATAATTTAGTATTGTGGGTTATTTTCCAACTTTACATTATTTAAGTTGTTTTGACTAGTTGTTGCTACTTTAATGTTGGGGGTATTGGATAGTTATGAATTTACGATAGATAGTTTGGTTGGCATTTATTAATTTTTTTTTATCCCTTATATTTTTTTTTGAGCATCGAAATTTATTTAAACTTTATGGAGACGAGAATGTTTAGATTTTGTTTCACCCCTAAGATTTGAATGATGGAATATTGATTGGGGTTTAGTCATAATTTAATTTTTAATTATCCAAATTTTGGGGGCATGACACTCCCCAAGTATCCTCCTCGGGAATTTTTTCACTATTCTTTAAATAATAATTGCACCACTAGCTTCACGGGAGCTAATGAACCTTTACAACAAGTGAGCAATCTCGATTTAGAATCTGGTGCCTAGTTACACCTAACCCAAGTGATTTTATCTCAAAAAAATCACTCACAAAAATATCCTAACTAGTTTTGAATCTGGTATCTACTCACACCTAACCCAAATGATTTTATCCTAAACAATCACTCACAAAAACTCTTTTTTTTAACAAGTATAAAATTAATAAGGGATAGAAAACCCTTTTACAATTTTGCTCAAACTGTGACACCTGAATTTGTAAATTTAATTCAATACTGCAATAAAAGAATTCTTTATTAGTATAATAATAATAATAATAATAATGATTAATATTATGGTTGTAGGTGATAAAATGTAATCTAATTTTGGGCCTAATGCAAATTAAATTAAAAAAAAAGAAAGAAAGAAAAAGAAGTGGTGATTTATCACCATCCTAATGCATAGGATGGTGACTAAGTAAGTACCTTAGGCCACGTAGCAAGGAAGAAAGAATGTCACCTGTTGCACAGGTGGCCAAACTTAAAACAATCCACTTGGTATGAGTCCATGCAAACATGACTATAAATAGTGCCATACTTGTTTAGTAAACTTCAGAAGTAAGAACAAAAATTGGAAACCGTTCCTAGTAAACTTCGAATGGAGTGTAGCTAGGAGTTGTAGTAAGAAAATATAGACTAAGGATCAATCTTAAGGTGAGTTATATTATACCTTGAACTACCATAACATGTTTTAAATATGTCTTGAGTTACCATAATATATTTTACGAATGTTTTAAGTTACCATAATTTATTTTATATAATTTATATTTTATGGTTATGTTAATGTTTCAATTACGTGAATTATTTTATGAACCTTATTTGCTTAAATTGAAACCCATGAATAAGTTTGTTTAAATTTTAGAAACTATTTGACAATAATTTTATAAACAATTATGTTCTGTAAGTACTACCTCGTGGGTCCCACGCCTTGGGGCACTTAAATAAACCATTGGCCCTTGTTTGGCCATCTTGTGGTCCCCTGTTTGTCATTGATCCAGTGACCCCTGTTCTGATTGTCACTCCAGTGATCCATGTTCTGCTCTGTTCTGTACCGTGGTTATAGTTATTTACGAAATTTTTATTTCAGTTTCTGCCACTTAAATAATTTATTTATGCCACTTAAATTATGTTAATGTTTTACCTTAAATAACCATCCATGGCTATTTTGTGCCCCTATACTCACAGTATAATATTTCTCACTCTGCTATGTACTTATATCTGTTACCCCTTTCAGGTGACGAGGTTTAGCGGGATCAAGATAGGAGATAAATCACAGTGTTTTCTTTTTTTTTTTTGCACTACCTGTATTTTTGATTAGACTCTTATAATAAATAAAAGCCCAAATAACTATTTTTCTTTCGTTTTAATAAACATTTGATACTCAATTATTTTATTTTAATTTATTTAATTCGCCCGCTTGCGCTACGATTACAAAATTATTAGAATTATTTTATTTTTATCTTGTTGCGATGCTAAGTCTTTGGGTATTGGGTTTGGGTCATGACACAAACTCTCAACAAATTTTCTCACAAATAATATAACTCAATGAAGCACAATACTGTTTTGAGAATCACAAAATATAATCACTTCTCTTTTCTTCTCTTCTTATTTTTCGTCAACCAAAATACTATTATATATACCCAAAAATATATTTGATGAGAAGGCATACTTCTCCTTTGACTTGCACGGATCACGCGGAGATAGAACCTACCCTTGTCTTCATGACTAGGCAGCTTGTGCAAAATACAGACCAGACAACCGTTTCTCTTTCAACATTCGTGTTTGAAAATATAGGTTAGCTCGCTTTTGATGAATAATAATTTCAATATTTTCAAAATATTTTCCATAAAAACAAATAATGTACAGTGACTGCATGGTAACTTTTATATTAAAATATTTAAATGCACAGTAACTTTTCTATTAAAATATTTGAATGCGCAGTGACTACTCTATGAAAATATTTGTATGTATAGCAAAATTTATTTAAATAACATTTATATCAAAATTAATACCTTTTAAAATTTTTATAATTGTTGGAGAGATTTTAAATACACTCTAATAAAATATAATCCACTACCTCACATGGGTATATCAAATTTTGTCAAAAGAAGATAACTCACTAATACCAAATTTGTCAAAATATGACAACCCACCAATATTACATTTATCAAAAGAATACAATCAATCAATATCAAATTTGTCAAAAGATGAATGGTGGTCAGATTTTTCAAAACATGAATAGCGAATAGTGAATAGTGACAAACGGATTTTATGCATAGTAACTTTCACAAATTTCAAATATGCACAATAAATATTTCGTGTCAAAAAATGTAAAATATGTATATTGAAAAATCACAATTTATCCAATAATATTTTAGACATCATCAAAATTAAACCACATGATTAACAATGGAGACTACTCTAAAGGAGATGAGAGATGGCTCTTTGGCGATCGAGGTGGACCCCAAATCCATTGTCTGCGATTGAGGCTGCCTTGGAACTTTCAACAGTGCAACTGCTCTTCCTCATACTCCTTCCTGCGCCATCGTCCTCGCACCACCGCCAGTGCCTTAAACCCACCCTTGCACCACTACTAGCGCGCACTACAACAAAAAAGGCCTTTGGTGACAGACTAATTTTGTCTCCAAACATTAAATTTTCGTCACTAAAGTGATCTGTGACGAAAAATTTTTGTCACCACGTTTGTTGCCTATACGTTGTCGCTGGAAGTACCTGATAACGAAAAATAGTTTCATCGCCTATTTTTCATTTTTGGAGATCAAATTTTTCATCTCCAAATGTTGCATTTTTCGTCCTCTATAACATCAATTTCGTCAAAACATGACAACCCACCAATAATACATTTATCAAAAGAATACAATCAATCAATATCAAATTTGTCAAAAGATGAATGGTGGTCAGATTTTTCAAAACATGAATAGCGAATAGTGAATAGTGACAAACGGATTTTATGCATAGTAACTTTCACAAATTTCAAATATGCACAATAAATATTTCGTGTCAAAAAATGTAAAATATGTATATTGAAAAATCACAATTTATCCAATAATATTTTAGACATCATCAAAATTAAACCACATGATTAACAATGGAGACTACTCTAAAGGAGATGAGAGATGGCTCTTTGGCGATCGAGGTGGACCCCAAATCCATTGTCTGCGATTGAGGCTGCCTTGGAACTTTCAACAGTGCAACTGCTCTTCCTCATACTCCTTCCTGCGCCATCGTCCTCGCACCACCGCCAGTGCCTTAAACCCACCCTTGCACCACTACTAGCGCGCACTACAACAAAAAAGGCCTTTGGTGACAGACTAATTTTGTCTCCAAACATCAAATTTTCGTCACTAAAGTGATCTGTGATGAAAATTTTTTGTCACCACGTTTGTTGCCTATACGTTGTCGCTAAAAGTACCTGATAACGAAAAATAGTTTCGTCGCCTATTTTTCATTTTTGGCGATCAAATTTTTCATCTCCAAATGTTGCATTTTTCGTCCTCTATAACATCAATTTCGTCACTAGAATTAAATAATATTTTATTTTAATTGTTTTGGCGACGAAATATTTTGTCACCAAATAGGATTTAGTGACGAAATTTTTCCTCACCAATGATATAGATTAAGGTGACAAAAAAACTTGTCACTAAAATGAGCACAAAAAAAAAATTCTTCAATGACAATAAAATTTTGTCGCCAAATATTTCAATTTAACGACGAAATATTCAGCAAATGTGACGAAATTATTTGTTTGGTACTATATCATCAGTGACAAAATTACTAGTCATGTTGTTTGAAAACTAATAGTGACATTTTTTTTTCGTCGCTAATAATAATTAAATCTTTTTGAAATGGGGGTAATATTTTCAATTTAAAAATTTTCTTTTCACTAAAAATTCCTTGCACATTTCAATAACCTGTTCAATAAAATATCTATTACAAATCAATACAAAAATCTGATCATTTTCATAAACACAACAGTTGAATTTCATCACAATATCCACAAAAATACAATATCAACTGCATGCGAATTACCAAACATGTCTCATAATATCCACAAAAGACATGTCTACTAATATCTACAACAATACAATATCAACCGCATGCGGATTACCAAACACGTCTCCTAATATCCACAAAAGACATGTCTACTAAAATCCACAAAAATATAATATCAAGTGCGGATTACCAAACATGTCCTGTAATATCCACAAAAATATAAAATTTACAACGTAACCAAGATACATGTAAAGCTAATATGAACAAAAACACAAAATGAGCTAGCTTTTGCTCTCCAAATTACGAAACATGTCCATATCTAATCTCGAATCTGCAACAAAACAAAACACACAAAAAAAAAGAAAAAAAAAAAGAATGCAAGTTAGACAATTATAATCTTATCAATTAAATATACAATTTAACATTCATTTTTCGACTTAGTTTTCAAATCGGGAATTCCATGCAAGTTTCGTAAGTTTTCACAACTTACATTGGTTTCTCCTGAGGTGTTTGAGGTGTTCCACAGGCCTTCCCGTACCTGTTACACGATTTTGGCCCCCGATGGCCTATTTAAAAGTTTAAGTGTTCGAAAAATGCATTTTTAGACTTAGTTTTCAAACTGGGAGTCCCGTGCTAGTTCCGTAAGTTTACATAAGTTACAATGGTTGCTTCCAAGGTGTTTGAGGTGTTCCCGGGCCTTCTCATGGTTGTTTGATGATTTTGGCCTCCCGTTGGCCTATTTTCAAGCTTAAGTGTTGGAATAGTGCATTTTTGGACTAAGTTTTCAAACATGGAGTTCCGTAAGTTTTCATAACTTACATTGGTCCCTCCTGAAGTGTTTGCGGTGTTCCCTAGGCTTTCTCGTGGCTGTTACATGATTTTGGCCCCCGATGGCCTATTTTCAAACTTAAGTGTTAGAAAAATATATTTTTAGATTTAGTTTTCAAACCTAGAATCCCGTGCTAGTTCTGTAAGTTTACACAAGTTATAATGGTCCCTTCCGAGGTGTTTGAGGTGTTTCCCGGGCCTTCTCCTGGTTGTTTCACGATTTTGGCTCTCAATGGTCTATTTTCAAGCTTAAGAGTTGAAAAAGTGCATTTTTTTAACTTAGTTTTCAATCTGGGAGTCCCGTGCTAGTTCCGTAAGTCTCCACAACTTACATTGGTCCATTTTAAGGTGTTTGAGGTGTTTCACAGTCCTTTCCGTGCCTATTACACAATTTTGGCCCCCCGATGGCCTATTTACAAGCTTAAGTGTTAGAAAAATGTATTTTTAGACTTAGTTTTCAAACCGGGATTCTCGTGCTAGTTTTGTAAGTTTACACAAGTTACAATGTTCACTTTCGAGGAGTTTGAGGTGTTCCTCGGGCCTTCTTGTGGTTGTTTAACGATTTTGGCCCCCGATGGCCTATTTTCAAGTTTAAGTGTGAAAAAAGTGCATTTGTTGATTTAGTTTTCAAACCGAGAGTCCCGTGCTAGTTCCATAAGTTTTCACAACTTATATTGGTCCCTCCCGAAGTGTTTGAGGTGTTCCCCGAGCTTTCTCGTGGCTGTTACATGATTTTGACTCCCGATGGCCTATTTTCAAGCTTAAGTGTTAAAAAAGTGCATTTTTTTGACTTAGTTTTCAAATTGGGAGTCCTGTGCTACTTTTGTAAACTTCAACAACTTAACCTCATCCATGTGTATGATTGTGTACATGTGTGTCTATATATATATATATATCAATGTGTATAAGATACTTGCTTGTCAATTCTTGTCTAAGGCTTTTGAGAAGAGTCACCTTAAGATCAAACTCGATTACAAGATCCACAAAACCTGAGGCCAAAACATTCAAATGAATCTTGTTGTGGAATATATGGCTTTCTAATTTAATTAGTATTATGTCGTTGTTGTTATTTATTTATTTATTATTACCATGGAATAAACCAATCACATCTTCGACAAATAATAAATTTATTTAAAAAATATTTTTAACATGTTCCAAGCGTATCATATCATGTACATATAGAAAATTGTCTTGATAGCGTGTCACATGTCTGTGTATCTGCTAATTCTAACTCGTGAAAGGCACAAGGTGGTTTATTATATGAGGTAAAGGATGCTACTTCTTTTGTTCAATTTTCTAACTCAATAAAAAGCATAAAGGTGATGTATTAGGTGAAATCAAGTTCATTATGCACTAAGTGATCATCATGGATGTAATCAATAATAAGTTAGGTGCTAAACCAGGATACTTTGGTTGGAGATTACAATTGAATCCCTAAAAGCTTTAATTGCTGACATCAACAGAACAGATGTCAGCAGCAAAAAATAAGTTTCAACCTCTGATATTCATAATCAATGGCTGCAACATTGCCTTTATTCTATAATTCTTCTTCCCATTACAGCAAAAATTACAAACAAGCAAATTGATTTTAAGGAGCCAGAAGAGATGATGGCGAGATGCTTACATTCTAGACATTGATTTTGCAACCCGAGGAACATTTAAATGGTACTATAAAATTTACCTGCCGTGTAATTCCAGATAGATTTTATGACACTCACCTTTAAGTTTGTAGCCACCTGCCATGTAATATTCAGGTTGTCAAAACAAATGCAAAGAAATGAAGCATATTATAAAAATCAAGACTAATGTTACATAAAGAGCATGTAAGTGATCCAAATTCTCACCCATGAGAAAAGTGCAGAGAGACCAACACCAACTCGAATCCAAAATAGTGGAGACCCACTAGAAACACAACCAAAAGAGTATAAAGCATGAGTATATCTATATAGATACTTAAAAACTTAGAAGTCCACATGGAATTCAAGCACCTAGTTAATAATGCAAACAATTGAAGCACAATAAATAAAAGACGAAAAGAAAAAGTGATTATAACACATTTGATGGTGGGGGTGGCACGGTAAGTTGTGGGTTAACACCAACTAAAGAGTTTTCTTGGCTACTAGAAAAACATTCCTCCTCAGCTTCTCTAGCACTGTATAACAGAATGTGTCAAAATAAGCAGAAAAAAAACTCACAGCAAGAATATAACAAAATAATACTGATTGACCTAAACAATAGATGAACAAGATTCATTTGCATAAAAGGAAAAAGGTGAACCAAAGAAAGATGGACAATCATGTGAGCACTCTATACATCATAATGGACCAACAAGAACAACTTATTCGCTCTGTGAAATTGCCTTTGGCCCTAATTCGAGTTTGAATTTGCAAAATCATTTCAAATTGAGTCAAATCTGATGAATTTGAACCTTATCTGAACCAATTTGAAGCCCTAGCAACCTAAATTGAACTAAAATTCCCTTCAATTAAGTTTCATACTACGGCGAATTCATGTGTGAAAGGTGCAACCATGTTTCCTGAATTAGTTTTAAAGCTAAGTCGAATTGTTAACAACATTTTCAGAGAGAGAGAGAGAGAGCATACGGGCAGTAAGACTTGGAGAAAATGACGATGAGTGGGATACTATTGCCACTGCCCTTACTCGCCGTCGCAACTCGTAGTCGCTCTACGCCACCTCATTGCTTTACACCGCTAAGTGAGTGAGAGAAAGGCGATTGAGACTGAGTGAGCGTACGAAAGAGAAAGAGAGAGACGCCACTGAGAGAGAGAAAGAGATGAGCGACTGAGAGTGATGCTATTGCTGCTGGATGCTGCTGCACGTCGTCGCCTTTGTTGCTCTACGCTGTTGAGAGAGAGAGATGAGCACGACTAAAAGATAGCAAGAGAGAAGAAAAAAAAAGGAGGGGAAATTTTGGGAATAATTTGTTAGTTTTTTTTTTTAGACGTGGCAAACGAGCGAATTTGACCGAGTTAAAATAGGTTTTGTATTAAAAATATGTTTTTATTTTTGAAAATTATTTTTTGAGTTTTTAATTAGTATTTTTTATTTTAGTAAAATTTTTCAATATTTTAATCAATTAAAAAAATGATTAAAATATTAAAAAAGTTCACTAAAAATTAAAAAAATAAGGATTGAAACTTGAAAAATAGTTTTCGAAAACTGAAATCAAACGAAATTGATTCAAACTCACCTATTTAGTAAAAGAGGTTTAAATGGGTTTGGTGGAGGTGGAGTGCTAGTAGTGGTGGTGGAAGAGTAGTGGTGGTAGTGGAATGGCGGCAATGGAAGTGAAGTGACGGCAACGGTAGTGGTAAAGTAAGGCAATGGTGGTGGAAGAAAAATGGTAGCGGTGGCAATGATAATGGTAGTGGTGGGGCAGTGGTAGTGGTGGTGGTGGAAGTAGTGGAGAGGTGATGGTGGTAGTGGTGGTGATGTAGTGGCAGAGGCGGCGGTGGTGGAGTAGTGGTAGTGGTGAAGTAGTAGCGATGGTGGTGCAAAGGTGATGGAGGTGGTGGTAAAGTGGCTGCGGTGACAGTGGTGGTAGAAGAGAGTTAATGGTGGCGGCGGTAGTGGTAGAGTGGCGATGGCAGCGGTGGAAGATAGATGGTGGTAGTAGTGATAATAATGGTGGAGTGACAACGATAATAGAGTAGTTACGATAGTGGTTATGGAGTAGTGGCAGTTGTGGCGATGGAAATGAAGGAGAGGTGGTGGTGGAGTGGTGGCAACAGTAGCGGCGATGGTAATAGATTCATGGCGGTAGAGATGGTGGTGGTGTTGGAGTGGTGGCAATGATGGTAGAAAAATCCATTTAAATAGGTACTCATGTCTAACCTAAAGAGGGCTTTGCAAAATAAGAACTAATATGGGAAAACAAAGAGGGCTTCTCACTTATAGCATGAAACGATATCGTTTTGCATAATAAAACTATAGGAGACAAAATTATTTCATCGCGAAAAATTTTGTACAATAGTGACGAAAATTTTTGTCTCTAAAATGGCGCCCAAATATTTTGCAAAATTTTCTAAGGGCGGGAATTTTTTTGCTATGAAAAATAAAATATAGAGACAAATAAAATTTTTGTCACCTATTGTTTTACTGATTTTAAGCATTTGGTGACGAAATTTGATTTTTCTCTCTAAAAATATTACAATTGGAGACGAAATCTTACTTTTATCTCTAAAACATGTATATTTGGAGACGAATTTTTTTTTCATCATTTGTTTTCGTCACCAAAGACCTTTTTTGTTGTAGTGGCGAGCCCTTTTCCTTATCTTCTTCTCGATGATCTAGAAACCCCGATTTAGGATAAGAGATCTGAGACAAATCCGAAAGACATCTGCGACAAAGAGAGAAGAATAAGGACGAAAATGAGAATAAGCTGCCAGAAATAAAGGTTGCCAGAGGAAGAATGAGACGTCGGTGATGCTCTCTGTTTCATCCTCCTCTCAGTTTCAATTTTTATTTTTATTTTTTTTAGGGCTAGTTCTATCGTAAAACAATATCGTTTGGGGACACTACAGGAACCATGGCAAGAGAGCCCTACAGAGGATCTGGACTCCACATGGACCCCAAGAATGTGACCTCTCAAATGACAAAGCAACAAGAAGGATTTATGGGTCCAAATTGTCTAGTATTATCGTATAATAAGACAATGCAAGAAATGAAAGTTAGGAACAACTAAAATTACACTCACAAGAGGGTGGATGAAAGGAATGCCCCAACCAAATTGGAGCTCTAAGTCTTTTTTGTTTCCTTTCCTTCAAATCAAGGAGGGTCCATTAAAAGAGCCAACAAAACAAGAATTTCTCATGTGTTGATGACGTGGGTTGTTTGAGATGACCTAAATAAGTGCACTTTTTGTCTTTTTACGAAAAGATATGCAGAAAAGTAGAGAGGTGATGTGATGAAAAAAAGATAAAAAGATAAAAAGATGGATTATTTTGTGTATGCCAAACTTAAGGCCAAGTTTGACATCTCTTAAAAAAGTCAAAAAGTCAAAAGTTACTCAAAAAGTCAAAAAGTTATCACTATTCATAAAAAAAATATTAAAAAATTAATTTCTCACACATCAATTCACACAGCCGTGCAACTCATCAATTGACCCGTGAAGCTCTGTGCTACGTTTGAAAGGAAAAATTGCACAGTTTGGTGCAATTTTCACACACTGCTGTTTGATAATCTGAACCGTTTGATGTGTAGAACTTGTCGAGTCCTCTATGTTTGTAGAAAATCACATTGATCGAATATCGATAACTATATGATCAAATCAGTTTTGTATAAAAAAATGGATGGTGTTATAATTAACGATTGAAAAAAAAACATATCTGATCAAATAGCTATCGATATCCGATCATCGTGATTTTTTATAGGCATATAGTACTCGACGAGTTCTAGGGATTGAACGATTCAGATTATCAAAATGGGACCAGTGATAGCACCCACGAGGCGAACAAAATCGTTCAGTACAATGCCCGAAAATTAGCCAATAATTTTTTACCATCAATTCAACCCTCAGATTGTACGGCTATTGACTTTTCATTTTTAATATTCTCCTACACATTTCTTTATATAATTTTTTAATACATATTTCAAAAAATTAACTCAAACATCCATATTTTTTTCTTTAATTTTTTAGTTCAAAAAGACAAAAAGTACACTTATTTAGGACATCTTAAACAACCCCTAAATACTCAATTATAATAAATCATACAAATTAGCAGGGCTTGAAGGAACAGATCCCACTTGCTCAAATATGGGAGTTTGGGGGCTCGCCCCACGATCTAATTAAAATTTATGCACTTGTGACCACAATTCTTATTTTTTGTATGTATAGTTGAAAGGTGAAGGGCCGACAATTCCTATATTTCTCTTGAAACCTTTTTTATTATAGTGAAATGACAACGATTGTGGATGAATTTATAATTTTGAAGTAAGGTCTCGTTTGAGAACATGTTTTTTTTAGTAATTTTTTAATTTTTTAGCTAAAATATGATGTAAAAAAAATTAATATGTTTGGAATGACTTTTTATAAAAAGATGTGCAAAAAGTAAAGAAAAAAAGGAATCTTTGATTTTTTGATATGAATTGTTAGCTTTTTGATTTTTTAATAATTTTTTGACTTTTTAATTAAAAAAGTCACTTGCCAAACGAGACCTAAATCATGTATATCTTATATGTGTATGTGCTTTACAATTCATGTTTATCTGTTTCGTTTATTTTTCATGTCTTACCAATTTAAGTTAGGTGTGACAAAGTCTTAATTGATAACAACAAAAAGATCACAAATTACACCATAAAAATGAGAAGTTACTAAAAATGAGAAAATAAAAGAAATAGAAAAAAGAAGGAAAAATGATCCTCAACAAGAGCTGCGTTGTAAATTCTTATCCAAGACTTGTATAGAAAATGACTTTTCTTTTGTTGGGTTGAATTATAAAAATAAAAAGAAACTATAGTACCTTGTGAAAAACTTTTTGTTTTTGTTTTTTCATAAAAAATGAATAGGTATAATCAATTTTATTTTATTTTCTAGATAAATTCAAAATTAAAACATGTTTGTGATAAGACCGATTACAACTCCAGTTGGCTTTTTGTGCAATTTCTCACATGAAAAAAGCTTGCTCTTTCATGTAATTGGACTTTCTGTCTTTTGTTTTATATTTTGACAAGACACAGAACTAATGTGGTGAAAGATAAATGAGGACAGCAAAGAGGTACTTTTCCAACCTATTTAAGAACCATACCTTGTGTGTATTTAGCATGTAGACTCTGCCTCTTCTGTATTTACATTGAAAGTAATTTCTTGTGAATTTTTTAGTCTTGACGTGAATGGTTTGTCTTTGGTTGGATTGAGAAGAGGATTGGAGGTAAACTGGCCGACACTCCTGACCGTTGAACCAAAAAAACAAAAAAAAAATTTGATTGTTTCTTAACATGTGCAAACCATCCAATGACCAAGTGACCAATCTTGTTGGTATGACTGTTTATTCAGATTTACTGTAAGAAGTCTTTTACACCGGTGGAGAGCTGAGGGCGGTAAGACATAGGCCAACATCCCTTGCCCGAAGTTTTTGAGGTATTTATTTATAGTATTTTTTAGTTAGGGTTTTAGTGTGAAAATATGACAATATTGTAGAGTAGTTTGAGTTTTTTTTTTGATTAGCAAAAGAAAGATTTATTGATGAAAGAAGCAATGTAAAAAACATCAACAAATTGTAAAGTAGTTGAGTTGAAAGAGTTAGAACTCTGTAATTCTTATAGTGCATGTTAGATTTTTGATCTCTTGTTATGAACATATTGTCGAACAACGTTGAAGGGGCTGAATATGAAAAGGGTCGGATCCATGCCTTAGGCCGACCCAATCCACTAAAGCCCAAATCCAAGTGGGTTAGATAAACATTTGGGCAAGCCAATTAAGCCCAACTTGCAGTGGAAAGGCTAGTTCAACTGCGATGCTGGGTTGGGCTCAGCTGCAAGACTTAATTTATGGGCCGAGCTGATGGACCGAACCGATCGTTAGAACTAAAGTGGGCCGAGCCCATACAAAGATATCTGAATGAACCAGCCTATCTCCATAAATAATCTTGTAAAAAGCCAAGCTGAGGCACAATGGTACCGAGCTGAGGGAATCTCTTGGAGAAACATGGAAGTTGTGAGTATATGCATGTGCAAGTTGCCACCTCAGCTGGTCCCCTACACCTGGAATCACGGAAGCAGTTAAACTAGAAGAATGTGGTTTGTTACAGTATGACTACAATGAGTATATACATTCTATGACAACTACCAGATGGTCCCCCACCTTGGACAATGCTAAAAGGAAGCTTGGCAGCACCTGAGCTCTATGGAACCATCTTGGGTAACAAGTAAGGAGTTCTATAAAAACTACATTAACTTCACATTGAAGGTAACTGATCTAAGCTAAACCCTACTTACTAAAACCCAACTCTCTACCCTTAGAGAGCACTTTACTTCTCCGGTTACTCATTGCCACACCGGAGGGGTTTTCCGACCAACCCCGACCAGGCAGCTCTTACGGTGTTCCTTGCTGTAGGACCTCAAATTCCTGGACAGTCCAGTCGAGTGCGAACCTCCGATCCACTTTCATCTAGTGCAGAATCTGATACGTACACACGTGTATCTGTTTTGTGATCGGAACCAGTCAATTTCGACATAACACCTTTCCTTTCAAATTCTGAGGAAATTGGGGTTTTTTTTAATGCCTTTTGCAAAAGACAAATTTCTCCTTCTTTGACAGCTTGTAGCTGTCCAGGTGGTGAGACTGAATCCAGCCATTAAACACAATAAATAAATTGTGGGTTTTGTGTAGCTTTCAAGCCTATCAAATGGGTATATATCTGTTCCTTTGTGTGGAGAGAGCTGTTTGGCTCCAAGACATAAAATACCCACATCCAATTCTTACTTCTCAAGTCGAAATACTTATTTTCATGTTTCATATTTGACTCAGTAAATTTTTTACATTTGAAAGATTAATTTTGAGAGAGTGAGAGAAGTTATAGAGCGAGAGAGAGACTCTGAAATGTTTTGTATATATGTGTTAATTACAAAGGGAATGAAGTCTCTCTTTATAGAGAGAAACATGGGCATTGGATGCCACACTCACCGAAAGCAAAAGCTATACAATTGATTGAGTACCACCGAAAGCAAAAGCTATACATTTGATAATATAAAGCAAAAGCTATGTAACACTATACAATTAATAATAATAAATTTAAAACTATTCTAACAACATTATTTCTAAAATCATTCCTGCAAACCAAACACCACCTTGTAGCTAAGAAACACTACCTTCTAGTTAAGAACTCCTGTCTCGTGGTTGATTCTTTGTCATCCTTTTTGCCTTCCTCTTGCCTATTGTTAATTTTTGTTATGGAGTCCTCTCACAATCTTGGAGATGCAGAAGAGTGTCAAAGCAGCGAGTCCGGGTGGACGATGTATATTGGCTCCCCCATAGACAACAGTGATGACGGTGATGATAATGATAGCGATGTTGGAGACAACAACAACAATGATGATTATGTCAATCGTATCATTAAACATGAAGATGAAAGTGATGATTCCATGGCTTCTGATGCTTCTTCTGGACCGAGTCATCGGGAAAATTCATGGGGAAGTGGAAAGGGTAGTTCTGGAAAGCATTGCTCAAACAAGAAAGATAAGCATACTGTGGAGAAGATGACTGGAAATGAAACAAGGAAGCTAAAGAAAGAGAAGGAAGAGGTAGTGTTTGCTTCAAAAGGAGCTAAAATTGCAAGCCGAAGTAGTGAGAAGGTAAGGAAAACAAGTAGTTGGTTTGGCAAAAGAAAGTAAATCTTGTTCCTATCCAGTGTTTAGTTCGTTAAAATGAGACTGGAAGATCGTTATGTGAACTCGTTCTCATGTTTACATTGAAAATGAAATCGTCATTCACTGTTGCAAGGCCAAGAAATAACCATTCCATATTCCTGATCATAATCATTCGAATGAACCAAACATGAACTTAGGGTTGTTTTTGTATGTTGTTAGCAACTTAGCATGAGCTGTGAGCCATATTTTGGACTATATCTGTGATGTGTTTTCAGTGTAAGAAATGTAATAGTTGTTAGCTTTTTAAATGCATGTATCTATCAATAGCTAAGCTAAGCTTTGTGACATGTTCCTCTATACAGCTTTAGAATATATTCCAACACTAATACACTCTCCACGGTTGAGCAAGCGCATGCACACCAGGAGGCCACACAGTATTCATATACAGAGAGAGAGAGAGAGAGAGAGAGAGAGACAGAGAGAGAGAGAGGTAGGTTAATCTATTATTGTGTGAATTTGTATATATTAGGGTGGGAATATCAGAATTTCTATATATAGTTAGAATCTGACTAATAAAATCTTACTCACATAAGAGTATTGAATCAATAAGTAATTCCCATTATGCATGGGGAGATGGTTCCTTATTAAATATTTTGGGAATCATGCCTATTAATAGGTCACTGACTCAGTCCATCTTGAAGGAATGATTTTGGATCTCTCAAATTTCATATTTGTAAATCTATCTAAATTCCTTCTATTCGCCTCTTCTAAGATGTATAGGGAATTCTTTAATCACGCTTAGAAGAGTTGTCATGCGTTGATTACCCGTTCCTACCTTTTTCAGTGAGGAAAAAAACTGAATCCCTAAACAAACATCATCCAAGACCTTGTTTAACATGAGTTAAAATCGATAAAAAAAAGTAAGAATTTGATTGTCTTGAATTAAAAAATAACTAAAAAAATTAAAAAAGTAAACAATCAATTGATCAATAAAGGTGATTTTGCAATTGCTTTTCAATACATTTCCTTTTATTTTATTTTTTTAAAATCAAATTTACAATACATTTCATATACTTGCAACCCAAACTCCTTTAAATCACATAGTGGTTTCATGGAAGAGATTAAGCGCCACACTTCATCGATCAAAACTTTAATAATGAAAAAAATCAATTATTGATATATTGAGATTGTTGAATCAAAACTTTAATAATGAAAAAAATCAATTATTGATATATTGAGATTGTTGAATAATTACTCGAGATATTTGTTGAATAATTACGTGAGATACTTGTGGAATGTGGTAGAACACTACTACCTTCATGCATTTGGCAATCTAGTTCAAAGTTAACTCTTAACTTTTGACCAATTTTAAGTCACATCACCTCTCACATTTTTCACACATAAAAAGATAAAAAAATAAAAAAATTAATTTTTAACAAACTTTTCAAATCACCCAAATATTGGACAATATGCCATTTTTGGACAACCTGTCTACATAAAACAACAAAAGAAGTGGCTCCAGCATGGGTGTAGTGGTTCCACTCAGAGAAACAAAAATATAAATATTTTTTATTTCTTTTATAAAAATCTCTTTAAAGATAGGACCCTTTTTGAATGCATTTGATTTGATTGGAATGAGACTTGGCGTAAGCTTAGATAGATTCAAATTGAGGGAAAAAACAACAAAAAAATTATTCATAAGTCCTGTTTGAAATATGTGTGTACTATTTAATTTAATAATTTTTTAAGTAAACTCAAAAATTCTACTTTTCTTCTCTCTCTCTTTCTGCTTTTTGCTTCATTCTTTACGTTTTCCTCTCTCTTCTTTTTTTTGCGTTTTTCTCTCCTTTTGTTTGTCATGAATGATGACCGGTGATCACACATTTTTTATTGTCTTTCTCTTTCTAATATATAGTCACTTGTGACCGACGATAACTATTGATTGGGGTTCACCGGCAACCATCAACCATCGACATCAACTCGTGACTTCATCCTCACCGACGGCGAAGAAGATGAGTAGATCTACTCAAATCTGATGAGTAGATTTACATGAGATCTGACTAAATCTAAATAAAAAATAGTTGCCGGAGTATAATATTCTTTCTATATCTATTATTTCCTTCGATTTCTCAAATTTTCTACATTTTCTATATTACACAAGTCTATTTTTCTATTTTAATGGAGAAAATTTTCAAATTCTAAATAAATTGTTTTCGAGTATTAGTTACAGGCGGTGAAAACTGTAAAATTTTGCAGTTTCAATTTTTTTTGGTACTGGAATGAATCATGGTTTAAAACTGTAAAATTTTACAGTTTCATGACATTCTTTAGAACTGTAAAATTTTGCAGTTTCATAACTTTCTTTAGAATTGTAAAATTTTGCAGTTTATAACATGTTTTTTAGTTTAATTAATAAGGATAAATACTTAATAGATTTTTACTCTAAAACTATAACATTTTACAGTTTCAAAACTTACTTTTCAGTTTGATCAATATTAGAGATTATTTGCTTAAACCCTACAAAAATTGAAAAATAACATATGCTTTTTCCATTGTTGTTGTTTTTTGTCGTTACATTTTTTTTTTCTTTTAGTTTATCAATATTTAGCACATTTTACTATATTTTTTCGCTCTAATTTATCCATTTATTTTTTTTTGAGCAATATTTTGGATATTCAGGAGAGTCTCCAATGATGTTTTTAACGTTCAGTGAACATTCTGGATATTTCGGAGACTTCCACTGGCATTCATAACAGTCCAGTGAATTTCCGGCCACTTCCCAGCAATACTCTGACAACTTTCCGGTGATGTTAAACATTCCGGCGAGTCTCTGGTGACCGTCTGACGGAAGTCCGACGGTAGTGGATGTAACAGCATCTGTAAATTTAAAAAAAAAAAGAAAAAAAAAAGAATAGGATTTTTTTATAACAATTAATAATATATAGAAATAATTGATACAAATATTTTGTTTTGAGATTAGATGGATTTTGAACTTTGTATATGGGATTTATTGATAAGCTTTCTAAAAAAACAAAAATTCAATACAAATCTCGGCCCAAGTTAACATGGCTAGATGGAGTTTGGGATTAAAAATTTGGCCCACATTTTAGTCCGGCCCGGCCCATTCAAAATAGTGTCCATCAGGTTTTCTACTTCTTAGTCGGCACGATGCGGACTGTCACGGTTGTCTTTCCCGTCGAACAAAACTGTTTTGGGGCGATTACAAAAAAATCTCAGAATTTAAACCTTCTAATCTTAAAATTTTAATTTTGTTGATTTAAATTATTGTTTTTTAATTTATTTTTAATTTAAATTATTTATTTATTTTTATTAAATAAAATTGACAAAAAAATATATTTTAACTATTAAAACAAATGTAAATATATATAAAATATTATTTTTATTGAATTTAATAACTAAAATGTTTATTTTTCCATCAATTTCACATAATTAAAATAAACAAAACAATAAACATTTTAAAATTTAAAAATTAATTTGGTTATTAGAATCATTTTTTATTATTTATTTTTTTAAAAAAAATTTCCCAACTGTTTTTGATGCACAAACAACTAAGTTCTGATCCTCTCCTTGCAAGACTTACGAGCATGCGTCCTTGCAACGGCTGAGATCAGCCGTTGCACATCCAACGGCTGAGATTAAAAAAAAATAAATAAATAAAATTGAAATTTCATTTTCATTTTCATCTTCATCTTCCCGCCCAAAGACACAGAACAGAGCCTATATAGATTTTGGTTATACAAATTTCAAACCTTTGTCTCTCTCTCTCTCTCTTTCTGGAATCTATTTATCTATTTATCTATTTATCTATCTATCTATCTATCTGTATCTATAGATTTAGATCAAATTCAACGAGAAGGTCAGCTTCGGTTCTTCAGATTTTATCACCACCAAACCCGTCTCACCGACAAGCCTCTCAACGAAGACCCACTCTCCAAACCTAACCCATTGCTTTGCCCTCATTCTCTCTGCCCTCACTTCGCGAACCAGAGTTCTCCTGTGAGCAAACCAGTCTCTATAGCTTCAACAATAACAGCTCATAAATGAAAGTTTTCAAAAAGTGTTGCTGAAACTGATGCTGTTCAAGTTGCTGAAACTATCGTTGTTTATTTGCAGAATATCGTTTGTTGATTTGAAAGTCATTGACGAGATTTCACCAGAAAATAGGAGTCAATCTGAAAACTGAAGATGGTTGAAGAAATAGAAATTTGTATTTTAGTTTTTTTTTCGGAGTACTTTGGAAATGACCTACTTTTCTCCATGAAAAAAGAAGGTGAGTGAGATCAACTTTGATGATGATGGGTAGTGTAGTGTAGTGTAGTGGGTGCATTTTCTTTTCTTTCTATGGTTTTTTATATATATGCACACCAGGTCTAAGGGACTTGGATGAGATATATGTATTCCATGCATCACATAAGGTTGTTGTAAAATGCATGCTAGCTAAGAGTTTAATTTTGTTCACACACATCTATAATGAATAAAATGTTAATTTTTTATTGTTACAAAATAATGGAGTCTATAATTTTGAGCGCAGTTAATGTACTTTTTTTAAATATGGAGCTCATTGTTTTGGGCTAATCACATCCATGTTTTATTGACACACTTTTCTTTAGCTAAGTCCGTTGATTTATGAATAAAATGGAAACAAACTTCAAAAATTTGAAAAATAAATAAATTTAAATACGTGCACAAAAATCAGGCAAAATAGTTATGGAAAATGAGTTTTATTGTGGGGTTCACATATTTGAGACGCACACATTGTGAGTGTTCTGTGACTAATTTTTGTACACATACAAGTGGAGAAGAACTTTTTATTAGAAAAGTGTCAAGAATGTTGTGTTAATAACACTATATTCATTTTTGATGGAATCATGCGGGACCCATTTTTAAATATTTTGTAATTGAATTTTATGTATGTATAATTAATAAGAAAACTTTTCAGTAAAGTGTTGAAAATGTTATTCTAGCAGAACACTATTCATTTTAGATGGAGTCACATTTTATCAAGATGAAGGCAATATAACAAACTATTTAATGTTTTTTTTATTATTATTTACAAACATAATTTTTATACTAAAATTGAAATCCAAGATAAGGGGGTAAAGGGTGTACTAAATAAGTTTTTCTTTGACATTGAAGATGCAAATCAATGGAAGTTAGAGTGGGCGGAAATGCTTGATAAATATGATGCGCATGAAAACCATTGGTTAAAATTGACATTTGCGGTGAAAGAAAAATGGGGTTGGCCATATGTTAGATCAACATGGGCTGCGGGAATGAGTACCACACAACTTAGTGAATCTTTTAATGCTTTTTTGAAGGATTACATTCGTTCTGATTTTAACTTAAATGAATTCTTCATGCATTTCGAAAGGGTACTTTACGAGAAGCGATACAAGGAGTTAGAAGCAGGATATGCTTTGTGCCAAAGGTTGCCAAAGGTGAAAGCAACAATAAGAATGTTAATTCAAATGGGTAATGTTTACACAAAAAAGATATTTGAAGAATTTCAAAACGAGTACTTTCGATCCATTAAATCGGACATAGAAGCAATTGAATATAGCGAGGCTAGTACCATTTACATAGTTGTTGATGTTGGTAACAACATGCAAGGAAAGTGAAGATGGAGAGGGATGGGTCATTGGGTTGTAATTGTACAAAGTTTGAAAGGGAAGGAATCTTTTGTTGTCACTCATTGAAGGTTATTAGAGACATATTGAAGATGAAAGAGGTTCCTCCACAATACATTCTAAAGAGGTGGACGAAACAAGCAAGAGCCGAAACTGTGAAGGACATTAAGGGGAATGACATTCAAGTGGATGTGAAATTCCAGCAAGCCTCGCGGTATAAGACATTGATGACCGCATTTAGAGCACTAGCAAGTAGAGCTGCTGAAACTGAAGAAACTTATGATTTTTGTGTTGCACACCTTGCTACATTAGGTGCAAATATTGAAGGCAAGTTAGGTGCTCTTTTTGGTGCTGGAAATGAAGTAAGTAATGATCATGACACCCAAAGCTTTGAAGTGGATTGCGAAGATGTGAATCATGTTGTGCAACCAAAAGGATTTAAGAAAAAACTGGCAACTAGTAAGGGCAAAAGGAGGGTAAAAGGTGGATTCGAAGTGGCGTTGATAGCGAACTCCAAAAAAAAATCCCGTGCTAACAGCTTCGCTTCGTCACAATCTATTGCAAGTCCAACAGTTGCACTTTCTCCATTATCTGTTGGAGGAGAGATCTATGTTCGTCAAGATGTTCCTCCTCTTCAACCTCCTCCTCTCCGTCGTCATTTTCCTCCATCTTTGCCCATGGGTGGTAATTCTATTCCTCCGTCATTGATGAATCCCACATATCATGTAAGTGTTAGTACAATATATGTATTTTTTTTATGGATATAATATGTGACTCAACCCGTAATTGCGAAGCGTAATATATGACATTGTTCTTTGCCAATTTACAGGACATGTACGTAGTGCATAATTCAGTGCCAAATTTAATGCCGCAAAGGTATCCTACTGAACCAACATTCCAGTCACTACTTCAAGGTTCATATGGATATGACATTGGGTTTCGATATTCTCAAGAATCAAACAGTCCAATGTGGAGTCAGGTTTGTCGTTGATGTCTTTTGAATTTGTAGTTGCCTAAAAATCTGGATTTTGTGTTGCTGAAAGTTGTATTTGAAGTAGCTTTTTTTTGAAATTTTTTTTTTTCCAATTAAATTCTGTGTTTCTCCATTTCAGGTCATGGACAAGCACAAAGACAAGCAAACTGAAGATGAAAATGGCATGCAAAGTGAAGTGATACCATCTCAAATTGTGAAGCAAACTCATGCTGAATTGGTGCACAAATTTTGATGTTGCTCAGAAGTGATGTTGAAATTGCTGTTCAAACTCCACTCCAATGTCTGTTGAAATTGTGTTAAACATGTGTGTTCAAACTACTGTTGTATGTGTGTTGAAATTCTGATTTAGTTTAATGAGAATGCTTGTGTTAAAATTCTGATGGTATGTTCATGGCTTGTTGACTGCTGGGAATGGTATGCTAATGATAGAACCAAAATGTGCCATAACATGTGTTGCATCTCAAATTGTGAAGCAAACTATTGTGTTTTCAAATAGTAACAGATAGGTTCATTGATAACATTAATTGATAACAGATAATAACAGATAAGAGAGGTTCTACTATGTTCTAGTCTGGTCTGGTCTGGTTTCATCTGGTCTGGTCTGGTTTGGTCTGCTTCTGTTCTGAATCTGCACTCAACAATGCTGTAATTGTGTTTTGAAATAGTAACAGATAGGTTCATTGATAACCTTAATTGATAACAGATAATAACAGATAAGAGAGGTTCTGGTATATTCTAGTCTGGTCTGGTCTGGTTTGGTCTGGTTGTGGTCTGGTTCTGGTCTGGTCTGGTTCTGGTCTGGTCTGGTCTGCATGTGCTAGTCTGGTCTGCTTCTGGTCTGCATGTGCTAGTCTGGACTGGTCTGGTCTGTTGTGGTCTGCATCTGCTGGTCTGGTCTGCATCTTCTACTCTAGTCTAGTTCTGGTCTGCTCTGGTCTGCATGTGCTAGTCTGGTCTGGTCTGGTCTGCATTTGCTACTCTGGACTGGTCTGGTCTGAATCTGCTATAGTTCAACACAACCCTTGATAGAATTCAAAATAGTATTACATAGCATAAATAATGGTTTTGTTACACAACAAAATAGTATCAGATAGCAACAATACTATTTTGGCACTAAATAATATCAGATAGCATAAATAATGGTCTGCTTTGGTCTGCTGGGAATGGACTGCTCTGGTCTGAATCTGCACTCAACAATGCTGTATTGGTTTGTGATTGTGGTCTGTTCTGGTCTGCATCTGTTCTGGTCTGCATTTGCTACTCTGCATCTGTTCTGGTCTGCATCTGTTGTGATCTGCATTTGCTACTTTGCATCTGTTCTGGTCTGCATCTGCTGGTCTGGTCTGCATCACTGTTCTGGTTCTGGTCTGCTTTTGGTCTGGTCTGGTCTGGTCTGCATCATCTACAGATAATAACAGATAAGAGAGGTTCATGGTTTTGGTACAGGTTCATTGATAACATTCATTGATAACAGATAACAGTAATGGTTCAAATGCCATACATGGTTGGTAACAGAGCTGTCTTGGTTCCATCATTCATTGATAACAGATAACATTCCATCATTCATTCATTCATTCATTCCAAAATATGCCATACTTCATTCAGCAGCTAATAGATAATTCATTCATTCATTCGAAAATGTACCATACTTCATTCCAAAATTCATTCCATTCATTCATTCGAAAGTTGAGGCCACAAGTTGAGGAAAATAGATAATAGATAACAAGCTAACAACTTCATGTACATACAAGCCAAAATGCTACAAACTTCCAAGTTACATCATAAAGTAGAAAATCGTAGCAAATACAATGAAGTACACCATCGCTTTGATATTCCTTTCCATCCTTTGAAGCCTTCGACCATAGTTCGTTTCCATGGAATGAAGCCTCGTCCTGACATCGTTAAAGTCTTGTACTGTTATACCATCACAAGCTGTATAGTTCGTACGGATTCTGGACGTAACGTCTTCATCATCTTCATCCACGAACTTGAAGTAATTGCAATGGGGAGTGGGAGTCTTACTCTGCAATGCATGAGAATAAGTTAGTCGAAGAAGACAAATATTAATTTGACTACTAAACGAAGAAAACAGCTAGAATTACAAACTTACATATCTTGATGGGCAAACAAAGAACAAACGTCCTTCATTTCCATTCTCATTGGTTTTTACAATACGTATGGCAGCGGTTCTTCCACAATTGCACACCCTTGGTTGTAGTCTTATGTTGCTAATGTTAGAGGAAGATGCCATTTTTCAAAATCTGCATACATGACAAATATTTGAACCATGGTAGTTCCATAGAGGAAAAGGGACATTTCAGCTTTGAAATGGTAGTTCAAAAAAAGCCATACTCCGACTTTTGAAATGGTAGTTCAAAAAAAACCATAGTTTAGGTAACCCTTTTAAAATTTGGCAATCTATATAAGACTAATCCAAATATCTATATTTGTGATTCATTTTCAATTACTCTCTCAACATTTCCTGATTTATGCTCCTATCTTTGTGATTCACTATTTGCAAAATATCTATATTTCTATGAATAAATGAGTATTTACTTGTGATTACTTGAACACGAGAGTCTAGTGGTGGGATGCAACAAGTTGAACTTCCTATCTACTTGCATAGCACTTCAAACCAAGAGGAATTCTTTATCTTTCTTTCTTTTTATTTTATTTTATTTTTAATGTTTTTTGGGTATGCTGGTGAAGCTCCTTATCCTCTTCAATGTTGAAAAATTACATATAATTCTTTTATTTTCTTAATGTACTCTAGTTCTGTTCTCATTCTTCCTCTAAACCTATGTGTTTAGCTTTCACACAACTTTTTCTTCAAATGCTTAAAAACATTAGTAATACTCATCCATCTAATACAAAAACAGCCATAAAGCCATTATATAACTGTCCCTCTCAAACTAACCCAAGTTTGGTTGAGCATACAAAGGAGATGACATAAAAAAGCAAAAAAATTCATAAAGACTTGCTTAATATATTCCTTCACCCACTTGATAGGTAACTGAATATTACTTTCCTCTTATCTAACTGAATATTGCTACAATGTATGATTTTAAGTAATGGTTCAGCTAAACCAAAATGTGCCATACTTAGATAATTACTTCAACTATCATATTGCCATAATCAGATAATTAGTTCAACTATCATTTCATACACAGAACAAACTAATTAACACTGAAAGCAAATACTCAGATAATTAGTTCAACTATCATTTCATACACAGAATAAACTCATTAACACTGAAAGCAAAATCAAAGCCCAAATGAACACTGATTTTTATTATTCATGTCAATGTTTCAGAGATTTGAAATCAAAGCCCTAATTTCTCAATCCCAAATCAAGGCCCTATTCAGAGATTTGAAATCAAAGCCCTAATTTCTCAATCCCAAATCAAAGCCCAAATCAAAGCCCTATTTTCTGTTCGAATCCCTATTCTAATCAAAGCCAAATCAAAGCCCAAATCAAAGCCCTATTTTCTGTTCGAATCCCTATTCGAATCAAAGCAAAATCAAACCAGTTTTTTCTGTTCGAATCTGACATCGAAGCCCCTAATTTTCAAATTTAAAAGATATTTTCTCAATTTCAATCACACAATCCTAACATCTTCAGTTCAGAGTTTCGAATACTAACCTGGTTCCTCTATGGTCTCAGAACCCACGTTCCTGGAAGTGGGTCGCCGGTGCCGCCGTCTGGGGGACTGGTCGCCGGTGAGAGTAGATTCAGTGGAGGGGGACGAGTGAGTGGGAGGAGTGCAAGGCGGAGTGAAACTGAAGAGTGAGAGTGATTCTCATACTATAGCGACGGGCGGGAACGAATAGAAATTGGAATTTTTTTTTTTTTTTTTAATCTCAGCCGTTGGATGTGCAACAACGGCTGATCTCAACCGTTGCAAGGACGCATGCTTGTAAGTCTTGTAAGGAGAGGATCTCAACTCGAAACGACTACGTGGACTTAACTTGGCCTTGTCGTTAGAAACAAAGGAAAACGTTAGCCTCTAGCCTCTTCTTCCTCTCTCTCTCATCTCACTCTGCAATTGAGTGTTTTAGAGTGAGAAAAAGAGAGGCAATGTCGAAGCTTCTACACACTTCTCACTTCACCTCCATCCACCGCCGGAGCTTCTCTTCCATCACTCTCTCTTCATCTCCACCTTCGATTCTCCTCACTCCCTCTCTCTCTCCTCTCCGTTCCAAATTCTCTCTCTTCACTCCCCTCTCAAACCCCCCTCAACCTCTCTTCCAATCTCTCTCCAATTCACGTCCTCGCCGAAACCTCTCAATTCGAGCTTTCGATTCGTCTTCCGAGGCCAAAAAGGACCAAGTATCGGCTGAGAAAGAGAAAGACCCTAATTCTTCTGAAACTCCGGGCGATGGTGGTAATGGAAGTGTGAGGAGCTCCGATGATGTGTATCCGAGCGGTGAGTTTGAATTTGAGGAGTTTGGTGCGTGGAGGAAGTTTGTGGTGAAGCTTCGAATGCTTTTTGCGTTTCCGTGGGAGCGCATTCGCAAGGGCAGTGTTCTTAATATGAAGTTGCGTGGGCAGGTTAGCATTGCTTTACTATGATGAATTTAGGAAAGTTTGCATTAAAGATAATAGCAAAATGCTAGGAATTTCAAAAGTTTTATCAAAAAAATCAAGTGGGTCTCATACTCATGTAAAGATATTTGATAAATTTTTTGATAAACTCTAGCATTACTCAAGATAATAATTGGATTGAATATATTTCAGTTATATGGTAGTGGATTACTGTTGTCAGTTATGTTGTTGTTTTTTGTTTGTTTGTTTGTTTTTTTTTTCTTCAATTTGTTGGAGATTATTAAGGAAGGAAAAGATAGGCCTCCTTTGGCAAGTGGCTGTTTGTCAAAAAAAAGTTATTAAAAAAAAAAAAGCTAAACTTATATCAAAAAGTTAAAGATTTGCTTTTCTGTCTATTTTTTACACATTTTTTTCGTAAAATGTAAAAAAGTTATCTAAAATATATTAATTTTTTTTACCTCATATTTTAGCCAAAAAATTAAAAAGTTACTAAAATAATCTGTTCCCAAATGAGGCCATATATGACTCCCCTTTGTAGACCTATTTAGAAACTCAGTGATGTGTATGTGATATGATTGGTTGATAATTAAAGAAATACGAGAGAGCGTTGCCGTAGATATCCTTATTAATCGCCACATTGGGTTTGAAAAGTGAATCTAATTTTTGGACCCGAATAGCAATGCACATTAACAAATATTAGGAGACAATAATTTCTGGGGGTTAAATTTTTTCTGTGTTTGGTTTGTATTGGGTGCAATTGGGGCATGTTAAGGATGTTTTGTGCAGTTGGAAGGGGGGCTGGGTAGGAAAGAGAGGTTGGAAGGCTTGGGATCTTGCAACGTTGTGTTTGATGTGGCTGGCTTGGCTAGAATGTAATTGGCAGATTTTCACGGGATAGAGGTTTCTGTGCCTCGGTTGAAGTATTTTTTCTGGGCGGTCTTGTATAATTGGGTGTTGGGGAGCGTGGTTCTCGACTTATTTTCCTTGGTGGATTTATTGATTCTTTATTTGTTTAGATGTAGGTGTCACAGTAGTGCTGGTTTGTGGTTATATTTGTGAGCATCATCTTGATGCATTTTCTCTAATAAAATGGTTACTCTTTATTTATCAAAAAATATACATATATACATTAGGAGACAATCATAGTACACCAACACATGAAAGCTTCGCATCACAAAAATTCTAAAGTTCACACCATTTTTTCATTTCATCATTGATATTTGTGAACCATGAATTTTTGTTCTGTAGTTGATATTTCAACAGTTGATTTTGTTTGATAGTGGATATGTGAACAGACAAAATGGTGTGAACTGAGGAAAAGCTCAGAAGTAATCAATCTTTGTCTTTAGTAGGGATTGATCTCCTGAGTGGCCAACTGAGTTGGCCTGGTTCTTACTCTGTACTGTCTGAAATACAAATGTCAACTAAAAACTGGATGTATTATGAACAGAAAATAGTAGTGAACTTGATTAACTCAGCTAAGATCAACAATATCTTGGTTGAACTTTCTGGTTCAGCTACATCAATTATCGAGGATCATAGTTGGTGTTCTTTATACATATGCTGTCATATTGTGACCATCCATATTACTTGGCATGGTTTCACCAATTTTTTGTGTCACATAGTTCTTTTGAAACCAGAGCCCACTTAACCAATAGTAAGCAGTACTTACAACCTTATTGTAAATGATAGCAATAGCATAAAACTATGCTGCCTTAGGTTTGAATCAAAGTGTTGTTACTCAATTTGGGTAACTAACCATAAGACTACCATTATTGTTTATGATGTTGAGTGCATAGTGGGATCATTGAAGTACTTGATAAGTCCATGAGAGCTTTGATCCATTTCAGGCTCAAACAATTCTTAATGATCTAAAATTCAAGTTATCAAGTTTATTCCTATTTATCAGATTCTCTGTGTGTTTGTTTTCTTCTTTCCTGCATATAAATTTTTAGATATTGATGCTCTATTTGGTGATGGAGATGAGATTTATTTACTTCTTTGTCTCCCTCATTTTTTTTTTTTTTATCTTTTTTAATAATTTTCAGATATCTGATCAGCTAAAGAGTCGTTTCTCTTCAGGACTATCTCTACCTCAAATTTGTGAAAATTTCATAAAAGCCGCATATGATCCTCGTATCTCTGGTATCTATCTCCACATTGAACCCTTGAATTGCGGGTGGGGTAAAGTCGAAGAAATCCGGAGGCATATGCTAGATTTTAAGAAATCAGGTATCATTATTATTTGACATTTTTATTTGGAGTACTTGAAATCTATGGTAAGTTTCCTGCTTCCCTATGTTGAACCTTTGGTCCTTCTCTGGCTTGTTGGCATTTTAGATTGAGAAAAAAGTTGATAAATCCCAGGAGATCTGCCAATTCAACAATCATAACTGCATGTACGAGTCTGTAGTCATATTGAACACATCCGAATGTATAGATTGACATGGCCATATGTAGCTAGATCACATATATTTCTGTCAAATTTGTGAGCAAAAGTGCCATAGAATCACTTGCTGAGCATGATTATATGGTAGACTTCTTTATGACTCTTTCTAATGGTTCTTCTCACATTTTATTCTATAGCATTCCAAGCTTATTTGTTTGGAAATGCCTTGTTTCCTGGATATGGAGTGTTGTATTTATATCTTATAATCTTGGAAGTGAGTAGCTTTTTAAAACATGAAGTCATGTTTTATCTCCCTCACAATATGTTAGTTTTGTATATCTGAATGAAATCTTTTGTCTAAGAGGCACAAACACATCTAAGAAGGTGCCTTGTTACATTATCTCATAACCAACACCTTGTGGACACTCCTAGACATGGGCTGATGTAGGACGAGTAGGGATTACTTTCTTACAAATAGTGTACCCAGTTTAAGTATACTAGCAGCAGCAGCAGCAACAATAGACTTATAGGGCTGGATTTGGTGGGATTTTGTTGCTGTAAAAGTATTTAAAGAAATAGAAGTTTAAGGGTTTGTAAAAGGATAGGGTTTTGGGAATGAAAACATGAGTGGTTAGGGGCTGTCGGGTGGCTGTTGTGAGCACTGTGAATAGTGATGTGAACAATAATTTTGCTGGATAGAAGAAGAGGAGAGAGAGAGAGAGAGAGATGTTTCACCCTCACAAGGGATAGGCCAATCACACAAATACAATCTCTAATTTTCATAATATTAACTCTTCTCCAATCATTGAAATTACACATATATTTATAGATTAAAGACTCTCCTAATTCTATAAGGATTGTAACTCAAATTTAGAAACTAAAAATATTTAGCAATTACTAATATTCTAGACCAACTATAACTTCCAATTCTACTTCAATTATAATAGGAAATTTTAATGACTTCTAGTTATATTTCAATATCAAAGTAGGAAACTTGGACTTGTGACCGTTAAAATTATTTTAGACATAATAAAATCAATATAAAGACCCATTTAATAACTTCACCCAAAATAAAATTCATGGGCGACCCCTACAACCCATGCCCAACAATTATTAGAATTACTATTATACTTTTAATTACTAAAACCTACTATAGTAACATGAACACTTGAAATTATTCCAAATCTTTAATTCTTGATACCCTAAATGTGCTTCATGTGAAATTTCAGATTTGCTATTTTTCTTCTTTCCATGATCTTCATTATGGGCCCAACAACTTGTGAAATTGTCCATAATTATAGAACATAGCACTATTATAAACAATTGGATGGCAACATCAGATGCTTATGAAAACATAGATTTTGTAGTGAAAAGGGAACATCTTAATGGGAGCCATGTTTAACCCTCTTTATATCATGATAACTGCACCCTCAAGTGTTTAACCTTTCCTTTCTTAAGAATGTTTAATATTGTATATGGCCATAGAAAGTCGAGCAAGCAATATAAGTAATAGCATACAGAGCACAATTATCTAAATGAGTTCGTCAAGCTGTATCTTCTACAATATTAAATTCTTATTAAAGAAATTTGGAAGATAAAAAATGTATATATTTGTTTCAAAAAGTTGATGTGCATGTGTATATATATGAATATAATTGAATTATATATATTGCTATGTTGTTGTCTGTATCCTAGTTTTTGGGGGTTATTGTGTTGGTGTATCAGCATTATATCACATTCGTGTCGTATGTCTATGTGTGTGCTACTTAGTCTTTTAAAAATATTTCATGTATTTGGATCTTTGACTTCATTTGTAAATACCTTGCAGGAAAATTCGTTGTGGGTTATGTCCCTGCATGTGGAGAGAAAGAGTATTACCTTGCCTCTGCTTGTGATGAGCTATTTGTCCCTCCAAGTGCTTATTTTGCTTTGTATGGTTTGACAGTTCAAGCATCATTCCTTGGAGGTAACTTGTTCTGTCACAGGTTTCAAGTTCATTTGACAAATGTAAAATGTCTGCTTATTCTAGCCATTCATTTTGCTTTGATGTGTGTGGGATCTGGAAACAATTGCTTGCATTCCTGTACATGTAAGGCCTCGTTTGGAAATAGACTATTTAAGTAACTTTTTGACTTTTTACGAAAAGATATGCAAAAAAGTAGAGAAACTGATGTGACAACTTATAGTAATTTTTTGGTTTTCTGGCTAAAATATTCCCTTCCCAAACGAGGCCTTACTGATGTGACTAAACTAAATCCTACCATGAAGATTGTTTCAGACTAAATGGCTTATAATTGACACAGTGGATGGTTTTTAACTCTTAAAAATCATATGGACTTTCTTTACTGCTAATTATTTTGTCTCTCTTAATGGTTGCTTTCAACTACTCATGTTACCATTATGCATTGTTTTGTTACTGTAATGTGGGACAGATCATATGGCTGATCTTAGTTGTATACATTACATTCCATGTGATTATTCATCATAAAACCTAATATTGCTTGTGAAGCCTACATCATGAAGTACATTATATATATTATTGGGCTCATTTTTTATCACCATATGCTTTTGGGACGTGACTTACCAAGTAGCACATAAATTTTCTTGACTGCTATTTTCAGCTATGCAAGATGAGTCTAAAGTCCTTGAATGTGTTTAGACCACCTTTTTAAAAAGCGGCCACAACTGTTACGTAACGCCGTTACATAACGGTTGTGGTGGTTACCGCCACCCGTTACCGCCGCTTTTGTAGTGTGATTGAGATTCATAGGTATGTCGGCCGTAGCGGCTTCCATAGCGGTCGTAACAGTGCCATAACGGTCTGTTACGCACTGTTACGTAACGGTTCCGAACTACTTCTTTCGAAAAAACACAAAAAAAAAAAAAAACAAAAAAAAAACTGAAAATGAGGGAAGAGAAATAGAGAGAGGGAAGATAAAGAGAGAAGAGGAGCAAGAGAGAGAGAGAGAGAGAGGTGAAGAATATGTTATTAATTTGTTGAAGCTGTAAAACCTATGCTGTTCTATTCAGCTGCTATCACTCAACCATTTGTTTGTGTGTGTCTATCTATATATTTAGGCTCTTATTTATTCTCTTACTTTTGTCATTGGGTATTTTATATATAATAGTTAGTGCTTGATTTTTTGTTTAATATAAAGTTATTAATTATTAAAATAAAATATAAAAAACTCAGTTTATAATGATTTAAAAATATGAAATATATTGGATCATACTTAAAAATTTACAAAAACTGATCAATATTTATTTTAAAACCCAATAAATATGATCATGGAAAAAAAATGTGCGTATCGGTAATTTTTTTTTCAAATTGTGAGAAAAATAAAAAAATTCACGGTTCCGGTTACCGCAACTGTTACGCTACAACCTTTACACCCCGCAACCGCAACCGCGCCACCGTTACGGCGACCACAACCGCTTTTTAGAACCTTAGTTTAGACCTAAGAAGCACGGACACGGACACAACACAACACGGACGTGTAAATTTTCAAAAAATGCAAGACACGACACGTTGGGGACACATGCAAAACATATATCTTGTATATTTATTATATGTCATATTTTTAAATATTTAATTTTATCAAATTTATCAGCCTTAGGTATGCTATTTTAGTAAAAAAGTAAAAAAAATAATTTTTTTTTTAAACAAATAGTCCTCATTGTGTCCTTAATGTGTCCGCAGCGTGTTCCTAGCATGGTCGCAGCGTGTCCCTACTTGTCCATAGGGTGTCCCATTGTGTCCGACATGTGTCCAGAGTGTGTCTGTGTCCGACACGTGTCGGACACTCGTACGTGACCTCCGGGGAGGTATCCGTGCTTCATAGGTTTAGACTGTTGTGCCCTTTAAAATATGTTTGAAACACACTGCATTTTTGGTGAGTTCTGTCAGGATGTGTAACTTTATGGTAACAGATGCATATATGGATTAACTTTACTTCTATCTATTTATCATAGGTTATTTTGTGAGAATGTGTAGCTGAAGTTACTTCTATGTGCAAAATGCAGCTGTACTTTGCATTACCTATGTCTCATGGTTCCATTATAACCGTGGCGCAGTGGTATAAAAATTTGTTTTGCAGGTGTTCTTGAGAAAGCTGGAGTTGAACCACAAGTGCAAAGAATTGGGAAATACAAAAGTGCTGGGGATCAACTGGCACGCAAAAGTATGTCTGAAGAAAACTGTGAGATGCTGACTACATTGCTTGATAATATTTATGGGAATTGGCTGGATGAAATTTCTGTTACCACAGGTGAGTTTCTTGTGCCCTGGCATGATGTTTAAGGGTTAAACTTAATTATGGGGTTCCTAAATTCTCATACAGGAAAGAAAAGAGAAGATATTGAGAACTTCATTAATGAGGGAGTTTTCCAAGTAGAGAGGCTGAAAGAAGATGGATGGATTACAAATATAAAGTATGATGATGAGGTACATAAATCCGTTTCCAGATTTTTGGCATGAAATTTTTGTTAGAGAAATGGTTTATATCCTGTAACAGTTCATTAAATTTAGACGTCCATAGAGTAAGACAGCAGCACCACTAGCCAATGGTGGGTTCCTGAGTTATAAATATATTTAGTTCGAAATTTGTATGGGAATAAAAGCATCAATTAATCCACAAGAGTTTACACTTGTTGTGAAATTTTCTATTTTACACCATTTGATGATGTTTTTTGGATTTATTTTCTTGAGTTCACGTCTTATCTGGGTCATTATGCTGATCAAATATAGAAATGCTTGAAGTTTGAGAGTGTTATTAAATTAGATTTTTTTTATAGATGTTTTTGTAACTAAAAGATATGAGTTTTTAGATTGTATGCAAGGTTTCGAAAAGCAGCTGCGGTGGCATGGTTGCAGTTGCAAGGTGTAAAGGTCGTAGCGTAATAGTTGCGGTAACTGAGACCGTGAATCTTTTTATTTTTCGCATAATTGAAAAAAACTTACCGATACACACATATATATATTTTCAAAATCACATTTATTAGGGTTTAAAATAGATTTTGATCAAACTTTTGTTAGTTTTTAAGTATGATCCAATATATTTCATATTTTTAAATCATTATAAAAGGAGCTTTTTATATTTTATTTCAATAGTTAATGACAATAATTGATTTTAAATGTCTATAAAATTATTTTTGATCAATACGTGAACTAACTAAATAAAAAATATTTACAATTATTAAATATAATGATTATAAAAAAAAAAAATTTGTGTCATAAACAAAAATTATTTTTGAGCTAAAGATTTTTTTTTTTTAAAAGACATTTTTTTAGACAATACTTTATAGCTAACTAAATAAAATTATTTACAATTAAGTATTAAATGAAATGATTATAAAAATAAAAATTGTGCCATAAGCAAAAATTAATTTTGAGCTACTGATTTTTTTTTTTAAGACATTTTTTAGACAACACATTATAGTAATAAAATAAAAAATATTTACAACTAAATATTAAATGAAATGATTATAAAAATAAATACAACCAATGTTTATATATTTTTTTATGTTACATGCTAATGTGATGAAATAAAAATTAAAAAATAAATTATAAATTATAAAGAAAAAAAATTCATACAAGGCTTTTTCTTTGGGTTTGGATCACTTAAGTATTTGTTATTTTTTTGTAAGATTTGTTTTTGGAAAGAAAGTTATTCAGAATATTGTAATGATGTATAACAGGCCGTTACATAAAACCGAAACGGCCGTTACACATGTAAATTTCCGTCACACCACAAAAGCAGGTGTAACAGGTAGCGCTTAGCACCGCAACCGTTACGTAATGGCCGCAACCGTCACATAACACCGCTCTTTGAAACATTGATTGTATGGCAAATGATATTTGATATTTTATTGATTGATGTTTATGGCATGCATGGAATATCTAATCCAAAAAAAGGTTTGACAAAAGTGGCTGCTATGTAAATTTAAGTATGAATGTTAGTCCAAATGCTATATGATCTTGACTGCTTCACGTAGTGTCCCAATGAATATTCTGATTTACAGCCTAAAATATTTATGCTGCCAGTATAAGCGTTTACATGGCAAAGTTTGTAATATTTAGCATTTTTGTGAACCATCAGTGTTCGCTAAATGACCAGTTATGTATAATTGCCACCACCAGCTTAGGGTAAAAGCGTCTATTTAAAGCCTAAACTATAACCTCTCTGTCTTGATTGATATGATGATTTTCAGATAGCTCTTTCCTAATAGGTAGCCTGTACAGGTTATTTCGATGCTGAAAAAGAGACTAGGACTTCAGGAGGATAAGAATCTTCCAGTAGTTGATTACAGGTAGTCTCTTTACTTTCCCCTCTCTCATGGGTCAGCCAGCTTGCAGGTCTTTTTGTCTGCCGGAGATACTACTTTCTGGAGGATGTTGTTTTCTGTTCTTTAGAGTTGTGCAATCTTGCATTAAGTGATGCAGATATGTTATGGATGGATGATAAATTTATGGCGTTGATATTTAATGTGTTGGGAATTCTAATGAATTACCTGTACACCTTTTTACAGTTTCTCAATGCAAAATGATCCTGATATCAAATACATTTCAACCTGCTAAGTTCTTCATTTCTTCTGATTTTTGACTAGTGTGCAACTCAGTTCTCTAATTTGAAGTTTGAATGACTGTACTATTAAAGTCCCCCAGAAATTTATCAGTTTTCTCCTAACTAGTTTACTGGAATGCGAAAGATGATGTTGGCACCTAAAATATGTTTCCTAAAACTTTTATCCCCTCTATTAGTCCTTCTTTTTCCCCTTTATTTTATTTTATTTATTTGATTTTCTTTTTTTAGCATTAACTGTCTTCACCTGTCTTTAAGTTTTGAATTTTCTTAGGTATTCTTCATAGTTTTGATGTTAAGTCACCTTGTAATATGCTTATCTAAACATTTGTGCTACAATTAAATTTCTTTGTCCTATTGTTGAACTGATGTAACGTGATTGACATTGCAAGGTGCTGAAATGAGCTTACAAGAATTTATTTCATTTCAACTACAGGAAATACTCTAGAGTTAGGAAATGGACCCTTGGTTTATCAGGTGGTAAAGATCAAATTGTCATAATCAGAGCCTCTGGAAGCATTAGTAGGGTACGGGGTCCATTCAGTGTATCTGGTTCGGGTATTACTAGTGAGCAATTTATTGAGAAGATCCGTAGCTTCTATATATAGGAATCATTGTAACATATCTAAATATCAATCAATAATACATACAATTTATTCTCTCTCTCTTTCTCTATACATTATTTCTTACACCAGTAATCAATGGCATATAAGTTGTAGACAAAATTACACTTCCTCACCTGAGGTTTTGGAATAAGATGCTTGGAACCCCCTTTTTTGGAATTGTTTGGAAAGTAGGTAGGGACCTCCCTTGCCGTTAGTATCCATTAAAAATATGTTGTTATCACTAATTTGACTCAACATGTAACTAATTTGACGCATCTTTAATGGTTTTTCTGCATAGATTGACTTAATATCTCAAGAGCAACACTCAAATTTGAAGTCTGTAAGAGATCAACTTGCGAGTGAGCTTGCATTATGGAACCATTTTATGCACATGATTTCTGGACTACAAGCACATCAGTTTCAATGATTTGGCTATGTGCAAGAAACCAGAAAATTAAAATACTATAGTTAATTATTATTGGTAGTGAGGAAGTACACAAAGAAAGGTGTGAGAAAATATATAGTGACAAGAATCTATTGGTGACTGCAGTGTTTGTGTGATACGACAAAGTGATTTTCAAATAATTCATTAAATGAAAGGATCACCATCTTGTAAGTGAAGTATCAATTGCACAAAAATGTTTGAGTACCTGGAGACCTATTGAATGGAAACGGTCAGATGTTTTAATCTGATGAATAAAGAGAAAGAAATACTCAATCTTGAGTTCCAAGTTAAATTGCAAATCCTAATTATGAAGATGGAATTGAAAAATAAACGTAGTTGCAGGATTGCAGCACTGATGCTGGATTCAAGATGCATGAGATCTTAAAAATAAATAAATAATAATAATAACAAAATAAAGAAAGACATGAATTTAAATGATGAACTGGATTTATAGGTTAAAGAATTGCTCACTGAGTTAATTACTTTTCTGTGTTCAGTTAGCTTTTCCTTTGTCTATAATTGTGCTTCTTCCCCAGCTAATGCTGATCTTTTATTCCAGAGTCAAAAAGATATAAGGCTGTTATCATCCGAATTGATAGTCCTGGAGGTGATGCTCTTGCTTCTGATTTGTAAGTAGTGCGGTGTTCTATCATTATGGTAGAAATTTAACAAGTAAAAACACGATATGTACATGTGTTGATGGCATGTATAAGGCTGTTACCATCCAAACCTATTGGAATTTGTTTTACATGTGAATGATTGAGGATTTGAGTATATTCATCTAATTATCATTTTAGATGTCAGTGTTCTTTCTCTATATTTAGTTTTGGATGTCATGTTTATAATTCCATTTACAGATTTATTTATATTCCTCATGCAGAGAATGAAAATTATAGGAAAAAGGGAAAACAAAAGAAAAATATGAGAAGTTCTAATATGCTCAAGCTCATGTAGTTGATTGAGCAGCGTTGATGTTTATATGCAGAATGTGGAGGGAAATCAAACTTCTGGCTGCCTCAAAACCTGTTATTGCATCAATGGCTGATGTGGCGGCTAGTGGAGGGTACTACATGGCAATGGCTGCAGGGACTATAGTTGCAGAGAATCTTACCTTGACAGGATCGATTGGGGTTGTTACAGGTGAACCTAGGAGCTCATAGTTTTATGTTTCCTATAATTTTAAAAATGAAAAAATTGACGAATTCAAAAGAAAAATCGATGAATGTGCATTCAGTTTTATGTTTCCTATAATTTTAAAAATGAAAAAATTGACGAATTCAAAAGAAAAATCGATGAATGTGCATTCTATGATGTACATTTTCAGATTGTGGTCTTCTTTTGATTTTATAATTCAACTAATTTGTGAGCAAATGGTTTAACAAAACCTTAAATGTCTAGAACCACTGGAAATGGAATCATAAATACGTAATAGGAACAAAAGATCATGATTGATATTCAATAGTTTTTGAAAGGTTGACAAACACTTGTTTTATGCTATGACATTTGTTCTGAGAATTTTAATGTTTCTAGAAGAACTAGATGAAACCTATTTAGGTTTTCCTAGTTATATGTCTTGATGTTTAGGTATTTGCACTTGTAGGGAAATTTAACTTGCTGTATGAAAAGATTGGCTTTAATAAGGAGATCATATCAAGGGGAAGATTTGCTGAACTTACTGCAGCTGAACAGCGTCCATTTAGGTAAGAAGCCCCATTGAGTTGCTAAGGATACATATACTTGTATTTTCTGAAACAAGAATATGGGAAGCATTTTTCCACTCGATGACTTCAATTGAAGTTAAAATTTGATTATCTCAAGAACTGTATTGTCTAGCCCTTTTCCTGCCTACTTACAAAAACTAATCAAACTCAACTTGCAGACCAGATGAAGAAGAACTTTTTGCCAAGTCTGCACAGAATGCGTATAAACAATTTCGAGACAAAGCAGCATTGTCAAGATCAATGACTGTACGGTAGTCAATTATTGTAGAGCTAAAAAAAAGTGCAGTACTATTTTCAATTGCTTATCAGAGTTGTAATGATTTTTTGGCAGGTAGAAAAGATGGAGGAGTTTGCACAGGGGAGAGTTTGGACAGGTAAAGATGCAGCTTCACGAGGTTTGGTTGATGCTATTGGTGGGATCTCTAGGGCTGTTGCTATAGCAAAACAAAAGGCTAGTATACCCCAGGACAGACAGGTTGGTTCCTTAATAACTTGTTTCAGTTTACTGTTCTAGTGCTTTGAATAAAAGTCACTGCTTTTTATTTGTTTTGTAAATGTTTCAAGTTCATTATATTGTCTTGATCTTTGTATTGGATCCCTGATAGTCTACAGCCTTCGAACTTCTAGGACAGAAAATAGGAGTAGTAGTTTTTTTGTTGGACCATTTGTAGATGCTGAACTAGGTTCATGGCTAGTTTTTCAAAACTCTTACATTAACATTGATTGTGTGAGCTGGCCAAATCAATTTCTTCTACCGCTTTGCGATTTGTATCCTAAATGTGCAGGTTACTCTTGTCGAGCTGTCCAGACCGTCCCCATCCCTACCAGAAATCTTAAGTGGCGTTGGCAGTTCTCTGGTCAGAGTGGACAGGATGTTAAGAGAATTACTAGAAGGCTTGACATCATTCGATGGAGTCCAAGCCCGGATGGATGGGATCATGTTCCAAAAACTGGAGGGAGCTTCTTATGTAAGCAACCGTTTCTTGAATTTGATCAAAGACTACTTGAGTTCCCTCTGACCTCAGAGCGGTACCCATTGTCTCTATCTTTTAAATTTCTGTAATTTTTCTTATACATTTCAACTTTTTTTTACTATTCACTTTTTGTTATTTCTTGGTGATAAAAATTGTAAATAGACCTTGATGTCAAGAGGATTGACTGTAGGGGAGTGGAGTACACCACATAAAAGAAAAGAAACAAAGAGAGGTGAGCAATTTATCCTTCTGGCTATTTTCAAAATTTTGCTTGTACATGAATATTGGATCAATATGATATTTTTTTATGGGTAATCTACACAAGGAGAACCTTGGTAAAAAGCTAGTTTTTTTTTTTGGCCTTTTTAAACTTTTTACACAAAAAAGTCAAAAAGTCACAAAAAAAATTAAGAAGTCAAACTTTTTACTAACTTTTTAAAACACCACAAAATTGATACTTGGTCGGAGTGGGTCTCGGGCTTATGAATAATAGAAGTGCATAGCAGATTGGTAGAGTAAACAAGCACATGAAGACCAACCCTAGACCTAAGTACAAACTACAAAGGCACATCATAAAACTCCGAACAACCCTCCCTAGACAGGTATAGAGATGCAACTGAATATCTTTTTACCCGGAACATTTCAGACAATCATAAAAACAGATTAAAAGTCGATTAATCAAACACGCAGACCACCCAAAAAAAAAAGAAAAGAAAAGAAAAGAAAAAGGACTACAAATGTTGAGGTTTCTTACAAGAATTTTCTTTGAAGTCTCTGATATTACAGTTGTCTTTACCCTGTTGGGTTTGTGAAACCACTGGGAAGTTGCTAATTACATTCATCTAATATTTCTCCACACACACAAGGGGGTTTTTTTTTTTTAGATGCTAGATTCATAATGCACGTGCTGAGTGTGAAAAGATATTATGTGAGTGAATCTAGAAGCACCTCAAAAGTCTAAAAAAACTTGGCCCTAATTCGATAGTTCTTCTCTGCTCCCCTTGTGTCGTTACATGACTGCTCGGATCTCTAGTTCTCAATTCTCCTATACACTGCAAAAAAAAAAAAACTGTCAGAAAATTAGCGTTACTTTTAGATTTTTTTTTTTTTGCGATAATAGGTCTTATGTATCAGACTTATTTACTCCTAAGGTATCGTTTGGGAACAAGCTAATTTAGTAATTTTTTAGTTATTTGACTAAAATATGAGTTAAAAAAAATTAGTATGTTTGGGATGTCTTTTTGATTTTTTACGAAAAAGATGTGTAAAAAATAGAGAGAAAAGAGAATTTTTGACTTTTTTAATAATTTTTTGACTAAACGGGAGGGTTCCCAAACGAGACCAAGTTCCGTAAATCACTTCTCTAATGTCAACAACTTAATCCCTTTTAATAATTATTTAAATCTGCAACATTAACAAAAGCTCGAACATTAGTTTACATTTAAAAAAAAAAAATTAGGTTGATTTGATAATTATAACTTTTTTATTTTATTGTGGCTGTTTTTTAAAAAATGAACGATAAGTATATTTTTGAAAATAAATCATTCAATTTATTTTTATTTTTTTAGAGATAAATAAAATAAAATAAAAATTTTAATTATTAAATCAATTTAATTTTTTTACGTGGAAATTGCCTGTGGACTTGGGATTCAGGTACCTGGTGAGGCTCCATTTCTGTGACCTTGAATATCGGGCCAAAGAAAGCCACTACTTCCAAAAACTTCTCCACACCAACATCCCTTCGAAAAATTATTGACATGTTATCTCGTAAAACACCAACACACAAATAATACACCCCATTATATAAATCAATTATATTTGAAATACTATAGGGGTATTTATTCATAATTTTTTTTCACCTATTTATATTCTATTTAATCTAAATTATTTTCTTATATTTCAATAAATTATATAAGTGACATAGTTATTAAAATATCTTTAATAATAATATTCATATCGACAGTGTGAATGTTCACACTATCAAATATGAGTATTTACATCACCAAGTTGTTAAGCATTTAAAAAATATTTGTAAGGGTAAAATTGTCCATAAATACTTTAAATATGATAATTAAGATTTGGTATATCAAATGTCCAAATAATAAGACTTATTAAAATATAAAAAAATATTATGCACTAATTGTGATATAAATATTTGAAAAAGAATTTTTTAATAAATTTCGCTTGAATAATTTTTCCACTCTCCTTCCACTCTTGCCAAGTAATTATAGTTGATTATGTATTTACCCAATGATAAAAGATTATGAGTTTTTACATGGTTTAAAAATTAACAAATCACAAAAGCACCATTAGTAGGGTGTTTTTTATAACTTATTTTAATTTAAGAGTGTGTATCAAATTATTTTGTACAGTTTTTACTTATAATTTTGTAGAATAAAATATTTAAAATAAACTAAAAAAAAAATAATTATTTTTAACTTTTAACTTATAGCGAGTTAATATTATGAGGGAAATTATTCAATAATCCGGGAGTACCACGTGTTCATACTCCCTAGCCAATTATTATTTAATATGCTCTCTCATATTTCTCAATCACCCAACATAATACCCTACCTATTCATCTTATCCACCAATCACAATGCTATAAAACATCACGTGTCTATACTCCTAAATTACTGAATAATTACCCTATTATGAACCAATGTGGTAACGTGGACCTCTCCTAATCCACTCTCTTTGACAAAAATTCACATGCCCCTTCCCTCGTTTTCTTTCCTTTCTTCTTGTCATAGGAAGAAACAAAGAAATGATGTTTCAGAAAGAACTTTTTTAAAAAAAGAAAAAAGAAAAGAAAAGAAAAAGGAAGATGTATAGAAATACATATATTGACTCAAAGGATCAAGGAAGTTGGAATGGATATATTTCCTCCTCCAAATGACTCTTTATCCACCACCAAATTAAGCAACCTCTCAACATTCTTCACTTATTTGAGAAAAAAAAAATAATAATAAAAAAAGGCGAAGAAGCATGCGTTTTTCTCATTTCTCAACTCTCATCCTTGCCTACACCATCTTCCTCCAATGTTGTTTTTGTACCAGTGCTAGTGACTATGCAACTCCGCATTCCCTAGTTGACAACATCGCCATTAACTGCGGTGCCTCGGGAAAATCAATAGCAGTCGATGGGCGTGAATGGATTGGAGATATTGGCTTCTCCAATCTTGCCCCATTCAAATCAACGTCGTCAAAATCCAACCATCGAGCCTCTGACACAGTCAGTCCTGTCCCCTACATGACTGCTCGGATCTCTAGTTCTCAATTCTCCTATACACTGCAACTCAGTCCGGGCCAAAAATTCATCCGTCTTCATTTCTACCCTACTTCATACTCGGGTTTTGGACGGTCCAAGGCCTTTTTCACCGTGAAAGCGGGTCCCTACACTCTCCTCAGCAACTTCAGTGCCTCCCTGGCCGCGGATGCTTTGGGCTTGAATTCTTTCGCTAGAGAATTTTGCGTGAACGTAGAAGAAAATCGAGCACTAACCATAACCTTCTCTCCATCTCCTGCTAGTTATGCTTTCATCAACGGAATTGAGATCGTCTCCATACCTGTAGGCCTTTATTACACCGATTCAGGGGTCTACGTCGTTGGCCAGAAATACAAAACCTATATAAAAAACAACACTGCGCTTGAGACTTCTCATCGCTTGAATATTGGCGGTGGCTTGATTTTATCGGTGGAAGATTCAGGCATGTTCCGGCAATGGTTCGATGACACCAATTACTTGCTAGAATCGAGTGGTTTATTACCTGTTACTGGCACGGTTGCTGTCAAGTTCATGAATGCAGCACCACCAAAACTTTACCAAACAGCGTGGTCGATGGATCCAAACATGCAAACCAACCAATTGTACAGTTTTACATGGAAATTGCCTGTGGACTTGGGATTCAGGTACCTGGTGAGGCTCCATTTCTGTGACCTTGAATATCGGGCCAAAGAAAGCCACTACAGGGAGTTCAGTGTCTTCATAAACAATCAGATGGCTGAGGCTTACACTGATTTGCTCAGGTGGAACGCTGGAAACGGGGTTGCAATGCATAGAGACTACATGGTGACGATGGAAGGAGAAAGAATAGAGGGAAAGCGTGATGTGCTCGTAGTTGTACACCATCACTACGAGTTGAGGACTACGCAGAGAGAGGTAATCTTGAAGGGGTTAGAGGTTTTCAAGCTGAGCAACCCTGACAACAATCTTGCTGGTGTGAACCCTATGTTTCTAGTACATGCCCCGACAACTAGTACCCCAAAGCTCCGAGCCTTGGTGTTTTCCTTTGGTGGTGTGAACACAGTCGCAACTGGGGTAGTAATTTTACTCTCTCTATTGAATATCACTGTTTACCAATTGCGTATTTGGGGAGAAAACTATGGCGAAAGAAACATCTCCTCGTCATCAACAGCCAAGAACTTGTGTCGTCGCTTTTCAATTCATGAGATCCAATCGGCGACCAACAACTTCGATGATGCATTAGTAATTGGACATGGTGGATTTGGTAAAGTATATAAAGGGCTCATCGATGATGGAGCCACCACTGTTGCCATAAAACGGTTGAATTTGATGTCCAATCAGGGGCCACGTGAATTTTGGACTGAGGTGGAGATGCTCTCCAAGCTTCGACACATTCATCTCGTTGCTCTGATTGGCTACTGCAAAGACTCCCAGGAGATGATCCTTGTCTATGAATATATGGCCCATGGGACTCTCGCAGATCATCTCTACAAAAATACTAGAGAAGGTCATAGCATTTGTTGTCTCAATTGGGAACGAAGGCTTAACATTTGCATTGATGCTGCACGTGGATTGGATTACCTTCATAGGGAAACCCAACCAGGAGTCATACACCGAGATGTAAAGACAACAAATATTCTTTTGAACGAATATTGGGTTGCTAAGATTTCAGATTTTGGATTGTCCAAAATTGACACCACAAGCCAGTCGCACACCCATGTTAGCACAGACGTTAAAGGCACATTTGGATATTTGGATCCTGAGTATTTCTCGAGCCATAGATTGACTTGGAAAACCGATGTGTATGCGTTTGGCGTGGTGTTGCTGGAAGCGCTGTGTGGGAGGAAGGCTGTGGATGCAGAACTTGAGGATGAACAACAACACAGTCTAGCCCTCTGGGCAAAGCACTGCATCAAAGAGGGAATGCTTGATCAGATCATTGATCCTACTCTAGGAGGGAAAATATCATCGCGTTGTCTTAAGGTGTTTGTGGAAGTTGCTAGCAAATGCTTGCATAAATGTCCAAATTTACGGCCTACAATGTTTGACGTGGTGGGAAGCCTACAGATTGCATTGGCGGCACAATGTCAGAGAATTGATCCTTCCATAAAGATAGAGGAGGTGGAGGTGGAGGTAGAGGCGGACTATGAAGAGGATGAGGATTTTATCAATCTTCGTAGGGCAGAATTTGAGGAGATTATTGGGATTACAACTCTGGATCCGGGTGGTGCTGTTGTTGCGCAACGTACACAAGGCCCCATGTTTGGGCAAGACGAAGGGGAATTTCAGGCCAAGAGAAAAACCAATTCAACATTCAGCAAGTTGGTAAGGGGTATTACACGTAGAGCTAAAGGTATGGACATGCCAAAGGAGAAGACAGAGAATGGCAGATCAGTGAAGCGGAAACCTTTACCAGTCATACCAGAGGAACCTTTTCGACATCTCTCAGTCGCCCAAATTGAGTTAGCCACCAATAATTTTGATTCTGCGTCTATTATTGATTGTGATGGTTCAGACATTGTGTACGAAGGCTATCTTGAGGATGGAAGCCTTGTGGTTGTCAAATGGATATTGAAGTCGTTGTTCATTGGTTGTGAGTTTTGGGATGAGATCAGGATGCTACCCAAGCTCCGACATCCTTATCTTGTCCCTTTGGTTGACTATTTCCCCTACAAATATGGCGTGCTCCTTGTGTCTGAGTTCACCGCCAATGAAAGTCTTCACGACCATCTTTACGATTGTGAGACTAAGGGTTACAGTCCTCTTTCCTGGAACCAAAGGCTTCGAATTTGCATTGACGTGGCTCGTGGATTACAGTACCTGCATAGAGGTTGGGAGCGTTCTATCATACACCCGTGTCTGCAAACTAGTAAAATTTTGTTGGCTGAGGGGTGGGCTGGCAAGGTTTCGGATTTTTGGTTGCCTAGGCGATTCAAAGACGATACATATATGACATCAGTATATGCAGCTCCAGAGTACATATATGGTCTATTAACCGATAAATCTAATGTGTACTCGTTTGGCGTGGTCTTGTTAGAAGTAGTTTCAGCTAGAGAAGAAGCATTATATCTTCCTTCACTGGAGAATAGGCCACAGCTATCCCAACTGGAGAAAGGAGGGTACATCGATCCGTTTTTAATTAGAACTAAGAAAATGGGAACTGCGAGTCTGAGGATTTTTGTTGAGATTATGGAGAGTTGCTTGCAATTTAACTGGCGTGAACGACCATCAATGGGTGATGTGGTAGAGAAGCTTGAGTATGCATTACAGCTACAGGAAGAGTTCACTGAATCTGCAAAGTAGGATGTCAAAACTTGGTGATAGCTACAATTTACAAATGTGTAAATTAATCCTACAGTCCCAGAGAATTCAACCAAGAATTTTCTGGGTAACGTGGTTGTGTAGTAGTGATTAAATTAGTGTTGTGTAATGAATTTGAGTTATAGATTGATATTTTTGGGTAAAATTTAGAGTAACAATTCTGAGATTGTAGTATTACTGAATATGAAATACAATATAGATATAAAATATGATATGACGATCTGGCAAATTCTAAAAGATTAAGATAGAATGCATTTGTAAAATAAGAAAAATTTTATTATTATTATTTTTAATATTGTATTATATATAAGCAGTTAGTTTATTTATTTATTTTTTTTATATCAAGACAAAATTAACATGTGGGAATTAAATTGACACATATAAAATATTATGGATCAAAATCACATAACCCACATACTTTAGGGATCATTTGTGTATTTAGTCTCATTAAATTATGTAATGCAAAATTTTTCGTAAAAAGTATATGAGTTGGGTTTAGAGTTGTTTCAAGTTATTTGGTCACTAACAATAATTTGATATGTTTTGAGATTTCTAATCCAAATCATGAAAGTCAATACGTTTTAAAATTATTAAACTCAAAATCAAACTGAGTTGAGGTTAAACCAAATCAATTCAAATCATGAAAATCAAATTTATTAAGTTGTTTTGTGCACGACGCAACTTAGGTCATCTTCAATCTTTGAAGAAAAATTTGACTAAAAATGTAATAAAGCTTTCCAATAGGAAAGTTAAAATATATATATATATATATTTAGAAAGTTAGACCCACATGTTATATCATTTTCCATATTTGTGTTATCTATATTAAAAAAAAAAAAATTGTGTTAGTAATCTCGTAACACCCAAAAAAAAAAAGAAAAAGAAAAAGGATTATCATGTCATTATTTTAAACTGTTGAAAATTTAGATTTGAAAATAAGTTTTTCTTCACTGTAAAACTTAATTTTATATGAATTTAAAAATTTTAAAAGTGACTAATTTGAATTAAAAATTTAAATAAGAGCCTGAGTAATGTTTTTAAAATCCCACTGAATCTAATCAGTTTAAATAAATATGTGTGTTCTAGAAAAATGGAAAAATATTCAACTTTTTATATCTGTTGAAATGAAAAAACTGATTTGTCATTCCATTTAGCACTCTTTGGCCATTTCCAAGCTACAAAACTACATGGCTCTGGTGGCGCCACCACTCTCATCCCTCCGCCGCCGCCACCATCACCACCACCACCAATACGTCTTCCGCAGAACCACGCAGAAACCAAACGCCAAAGACTCTCTCCATTCAATTCGCATTCCACAATCATCTCTTTTTCCCACTTCCCAAACACGCCAAAGAAATTCTCTCACTCCGACCAACACTTCAACCCATCAACTCTCCTTCCCTGAACAACTACCCAAGCTTTGCCACTCCGGAAACCTCGCCGAAGCTTTAGCCTTGCTGCAACAAAACTTCGATAATGCCTCTTTCGATTCGACTCAAAGAGCCGAGGCGTTGAATGTGTTATTACAAGCCTGTGGTCACCACAAAGACATTGAAATCGGTCGAAAAGTTCACGAGATTGTTCAGAGATCGACCCAATTCAGAGATGACTTTGTTCTCAATACCCGAATCATTACGATGTATTCCATTTGTGGGTCTCCTTCAGATTCTCGGTTGGTGTTTGATCAATTACAGAGGAAGAATTTGTATCAGTGGAATGCAATGGTTAGTGGGTACACTAGAAATGAGCTCTGGTTGGACGCAATGTTCACATTCTGTGAATTGATTACATTGATGGAATTTAAACCGGACAATTTCACTTTCCCTTGTGTGATTAAGGCTTGTGGAGGGCTTTTGGATCTGGGTTTGGGACAGAGTGTTCATGGAATGGCAATGAAGATGGATTTGATTTCGGATGTGTTTGTGGCTAATGCACTGATTGCAATGTATGGGAAATGTGGGTTTGTTGAGGAAGCTCTTAAAGTGTTTGAAAAAATGCCCGAAAGGAACTTGGTTTCGTGGAATTCTATTCTTTCTGGGTTTTTGGAAAACGGGTTTTGTCAAGAGAGTTTCAATGTGTTTAGGGAGATGTTGGCGGGAGAGGAAGGTTTGGTACCGGATGTTGCTACGCTGGTGACTGTATTACCGGTATGTGCATTGGAAGGAGAAGTGGAAATGGGAATGATGGTTCATGGTTTGGCTGTGAAATTTGGGCTGAACCAGGAACTAATGGTGAGCAATGCCTTGATGGACATGTATTCCAAATGTGGGTTGTTATCGAAAGCCCAAACCCTTTTCGATAAGAATGATGATAAAAATGTAGTTTCTTGGAATTCCATGGTTGGGGGTTATTCTAGAGGAGGACATGTCGATAGGACCTTTGGCCTTTTGCGGGAAATGCAGACTAGCAGTGTGAAAATAAAGGCTAATGAGGTTACCTTATTGAATGTATTGCAAGTTTGTTTAGACAAGTTGGAACTGTTGAAACTGAAGGAACTTCATGGCTATTCACTTAGAAATGGGTTTCAGTGTGATGAATTGGTAGCCAACGCATTTATTGCAGCCTATGCAAAATGTGGGGCTCTGAGTTCTGCTGAAAATGTCCTTTATGGTATGGAGAATAAGACGGTGAGCTCTTGGAATGCACTGATTGGTGGATATGCACAAAATGGAGATCCGTCAAGGGCTTTAGATATGTACCGTCAAATGTCATATTCGAGGTTAAATCCTGATGGGTTCAGCATTGGTAGCCTTCTTTTGGCTTTTGCCCACCTGAAATCCCTACAGTATGGAAAAACAATTCATGGATTTGTGCTTCGAAGGGGTACAGAAACAGATTCATTTATTGCTATTTCACTTCTTTCACTTTACATTCATTGTGGGAAACCATTATTTGCACGGGATGTATTTGACAGGATGCAAGATAAAAGTTCAGTATCTTGGAATGCAATGATTGCTGGTTACTCTCAGAATGAACTTCCTGATGAAACCCTAAATCTCTTTCGTCAAATGGTTTCCGATGGAACCCAACCCAGTGAAATTGCAATAACGAGTGTGTTTGGGGCTTGTTCGCGGTTGTCAGCTTTGCAGTTGGGAAAAGAAACACACTGCTTTGCTTTAAAAGCTCACCTTACTGAAGATGTATTTGTCGGTTGTTCAATCATAGATATGTATGCAAAAAGTGGCTCAATAGAACTATCTCAAAAGGTTTTTGATCGACTACAAGAGAAGGATCTGGCATCATGGACAGTTCTAATTGCAGGATATGGAATTCATGGATGTGGGGAAGAGGCCATAGAGCTATTTGAGAAAATGCAACGATTAGGGTTGAAGCCTGATGGATTCACGTTCATTGGTATTTTAACAGCTTGTACCCACGCTGGGCTGGTTGAAGAGGGTCTGAAATATTTCAATCTTATGCAGCCGGTGCATGGAATAGAACCAAAATTGGAGCATTATGCTTGTGTTGTGGACATGCTTGGTCGTGCTGGGCGATTCAATGATGCTTTAAAGCTTGTAAATGAGATGCCAATGGAGCCTGATGTTGGTATATGGACCTCATTACTCAGTTCCTGTAGAATTCATGGTGAGACGGATTTAGGAGAAAAATTTGCTGAGAAGTTGTTAGAATTGGGGCCAGACAAAGCTGAAAATTATGTGTCAGTCTCAAATTTATTTGCCGGATCCGGAAATTGGGATGATGTCAGAACGGTACGGGGGAAAATGAGGGAATTAGGCCTTAGAAAGGATATTGGCCGCAGTTGGATTCAAATTGGAGGGAAAACTTACAACTTTGCTGTTGGTGATAGAATGCTCCATGAGTCAGAAGAGATGCAAGAGATGTGGAGAAGATTGGAGGAGAAGATAAGTCAAATTGGATATGTACCCGATACAAGTTCAGTGCTTCATGAATTAAAAGAAGAGGAGAAAATAGAGATTTTACGAGGGCATAGTGAGAAGCTTGCAATTTCATTTGGTTTATTGAAGACAACAAAAGGCGTGACACTGAGGGTTTGCAAGAATCTGCGCATTTGTGGAGATTGTCACAATGCAATCAAGTTGGTATCAAAGGTTGTTAATAGGAAGATAATTGTGAGAGACAACAAGCGCTTTCACCATTTTAGCAACGGGTTGTGTTCTTGCGGCGATTATTGGTGATGCAGAAGAAGCCAATTTTTTTTCATAAGAATCTAAATGACTGGGAAATTGATACCTTTGGCTTATAACCAATCTTCAAATTTCCTAGGTCTGTACATGTTGGTCATCTGTTTTGCTTTCAACTTTCTTCTCACATATTGTTTCTGAAAACATCTATGCTTTGGCTTCACTAGCAGCTTCCTGTTATAGTTGATAAAGAATTGGTTTCAACTAGAAATTTTGATGGTTGAAGGATAAGTAAGTGTACATAGACATTTTGTGACTGTAGATTTCAAATTTTGAATGATAAGAGACAAATCTATCTTGTTGTTTGTTGTTAAAGATTGCAATAATGATGTCAAACCAGCATTTAGGGTATTCAACCTAGCACATACGCCTTTCGTGCACCTATCCATACATATATAAAGCAAAAGGATGTTAACGCCTATCTAAATTAAATTATTATTTTTGCCTAAATATTTACATTCAAGTAAAAAAGTTATTAGCAATTTTTTTTTTTGCGAATTCTATTATACACACCTACATACCATATACACTCTTAGTTACATAATTTTCTTCTTTAATTATGACTAATTTTTTTTTTTTTTTAGTTATGACATTATTTTGAGATATTTGGTTATGATTTTTAGTATTTGATTATGACTTTTTTTTAGTTATGATTCAAAAAATATAGGGAAAATTATTTAAAAGTCCTATTAGGGAGACTTATGCTACACATGGTCCTAGTAAAAAACTTACGTTCCCATAAGTCCTGTGAGAAGTTTGTTGACACATTTACCCTCAATATTAGTTGTTAATATCATAAATAATGGCAAAATAGGAAATTAAATGTTACCATAGATCATATCTATATGAATGTGAATTTGAATTTCAAAATACACGTTATATTTGGAGATTACAGCTTTGATTAGGCATATTTTTAGGAAACAAAATATATGAGATAGGTTTTGTCTCATTATGCTAATGTAAAGGGATGCTTCATTATAAAACATTTGGAAGGCCACCACCGAAAGGAAAAGGAAAGCGATTCGACGGTGAGGTTCGACGGGGCGGTGTGATCAGGATTGTGTCTCCGGTCAACCACGACGAAGGATGGCTCCAAAGCGTAAGTGTGGCCTTCCCCCTATTTTGCAATGTTCATTCACTATATTTTGGTTAGTAACTCAATACTAGGGTTTATGTGAATATGGGATTGTTGACAATCTTAGTTTGTATCGATCAAAATCTGTAATGTAAGTTGTATATTTTGTAAGTTTTATGAGGATTACATGTTTTGATTGTTTTCAATTTGAAGATGTCAGCCAATATGTGTGGGTTGTCGATTGGGTGTGTTTTGTGACTTATTTGTTAGTGTTTTCGGATGGGGGTTCAGTGGGTTAGCGAGTTTGGGTGTTTTGTGTGTGATTTGTTGTTGTGTTGTCGAATATGGGGTATATTTGCTTTTTTTTTTTTTTTTTTTTTTTTTGGAACCCATGCAAATGAGTGTGTTTGATTGTCTGATTTTTGTGGGTTTACGTTGTGATACGATGTCGTTTGATTGTGCGCATTAAGTAACAAAAGTAAGTTGTCGAATGTGACTGGTGCCACGTCCTTCTGTTTTGTGTTGTCTTTTGTTTCTGAATGTGAATGTCACCCAAATGTACAGTATTGTTGAATGTGAACTTGACACCATGTAAGTAAATTATGAATGTGAATGGGACCCCATATGAATAATTTTTGAATATAAAGCTGACCCCATTTCTAAATGTGAACATGAATTTGTGGGACTATTTGTAAATTGTCATGTTATGCTACACTGTCATTTAGTCGTTTGCGTCCAGTAAGAAAAGTAAATTGTAATCTTACGACGGAGTTCAACCTACATTTAATGAAAAAATTAAAAACACAGTGAATTTTTTTTTTTTTTTTTTTTTTTTATATTCAAAAATTATTCATATGGGGTCCCATTCACATTCATAATTTACTTACATGATGTCAAGTTCATATTCAAAAGTACTGTACATTTGAGTGACATTCTTTTTAGGGTGCCACGTCTTTGTGTTATGTGTTATCTTTTGTTTCTGAATGTGAATGTCACCCAAATGTACAGTACTTTTGAATGCGAACTTGACACCATGTAAGTAAGTTGTCGAACGTAGCTCATGCCACGTCCATGTTTTACGTACTTTAAGGTTTGTGAATGTGTCTGTAAATTCGTGGGAGACTATTTGTACATTGTCACAGTGAGTCGAATAATGCAAGTAACACGATCTGGGGTCGTGATTGTGGTTTCATGTCTCCATGTCTAGGTTGTCACATTTGTGTTTGTAATGGGTTGGTCGTCAACATTTACGTAGCGCATTACATTCAGTACTTTACCGTCATATTTCTAAGCGTATATGGGTATGTGGGTACATAATTACGTCTTAATTTATGAAATATGTGGTGAGGTAATTTTCGTTGTAACGTCAATTGTATTCTGCGAGACGAATACTACATGTTTTAAATTTGAATGTGAATGTGATTTCTTAAGAAAATGCTAGATGATTGTCACAGTGAGTTCAATAATGCGACTAACACGACCTTGGGTCGTGATTGTGGTTTCACATGCCCATTTTATGTTGTCACGTTCGTGTTCGTAGTGTGTTGTACATCAATATTCACGTACCTCATTCTCATTTATAGTTTGACTTTATTCAACGAATTGGCATGTCTTCTATAATTTCTGTAGCAACATCAATTGTATTGTGCGGGACGAATAATACGACTACAGGTTGTGGTTTGTGTTGGGTAGATTTGGTTCATGGTTCAATTTGCATATGTCATATTGTCTCTCATTTCGTCACATTAACAAAGTTGCACATATCTGTTATATATTGTCACACTCGTGTTCGGGGTGTGTTACACAACAATCGTTGCACTTCACGTTATGGCTTTTATTGTCAGATTATTTGATAAAATGGCATGCACCACATAATGATATTTTTTGTGTTATATCATGTATGACATTGTTCCGTATCTGGCAATTTGCATGTTGTGTTGAAAATTTTGATATTTATGCCGTTTGTTTTGGGGCTGAAGATGTTAACACCCATATACACATGTTCGTCATGTTCATTTTTCTTTCAAACAAACGGTGTTGTGGTGCTTTCAGTCATTAAGGTATTGTGCCCTTTGGATTATGTTCACATGATTTATAACTGCATTCCTACTAAAGAAGGATGTGCATTAAATTGTGTAGCTTAGAAAATGCATGTTAATCTAACAGAAGTGAAACGTAATGACACGTGAAAATGTTCAAATTAATTTTGACGTTTATTGAATGAAACAAAAACATATCTTCAAACATACTCATTGAATGTGTTGAACTTCAAATTTTGTATTGTCATCCAATTAGAATGTTAATGTATTGTGTGGGTCTGTGAATGGGTGTGAATTGAATACATGTACTATCACATCTTATCCTATTATATGTTAATGTTCACAATGAACATATTAACTCATCTTGTTACATACTACTATTAATTTCCATATTTACATTAGTTATTACATAGCTATTGGCCACTTGTTTGTATACGAAATGTGAAATGTTTATGGCATGTTTATCAAGTGGTACAATAAAGGCTACGTCCCCAAAGGAGTCCAAAGTAAACACTCGTGAAGGGAATACATCTAGTAAAAGACGACAGTGTCTATCTCCGTCAAGGAATGCAAACTTAGTAAGCCAAAACAGTGTTGGAAAAGGAAAGAAGGCAAAAAATGAACCTCAAAAACCATTGCCCAAACCATCTAGATTTTGCTACCGGTTTAACATTGCAGAAATTGTGAAGGTCGTGGTAGCATCAAATTTGAAAGATGAGCATTTGCATCATCTTCGGAAAAACACCATTCTGGCCCATGTTTGATGCTATGCGAAAAATAGAACTAAATCAACATGATTTCCAAAAATATGATGATATTGTAATGAGGATCATTCAAACATTTATTCCGAAGAAGACTGCTTTCATGATTGGTGGGAAACACATTGACTTGACGAGCATCGATATACAACTAATATTTAGAACCCATGCTAGCAAGCAAAGTTTAAATGTGTCACATGGCCCAAGACTTCTGACCAACTTCATCCAACGGAGGTGTCCTAACATAGCACGCATAAACTTGAAGACCATTAAGGAACTGTTAATAGATGCATTATTGGGGAACACTAGTAAGGACCACCAGGATGTCGCAAAGTTACTGTGTTTGTACTTATGTGGGAAGTTGTTATTTTCCACTTCGGGCAAGACCGTGGGATGGGAGTTGTCCGAGTTGTTGAAGATCTGGACAACATGAAAGCATATGATTGGATGGGAGCAATATGCGCAACATTGATGGAATCAATTAAGGGGTTCTACTCTAAGCCTGAGAAAGTTACTAGATGTGTAACTGCCTTGTTTGTAAGTGCTCTTTATTATTTTTTCCCCCGTTTAGTTAATTATGTTTTTTTTTTGTTTTTTTTATAGTTTCGGTATGTATATTTGTTTATAATAAATTTGACAACTTAATTTTTTTAACCCATGGTTCTACAGTTTTGGATATGTGAGCACACCAACTTGATCAATGCTGATCATGGAGATTGATTTCCAAGGTTCATGAAATGGAATATCAACTAGTTGGTCACAAAGATAAGATCTGTGGACATCAATCAGCCGCATGATGTTGAAGTATGCATGTGTGTTAGTGTTAGCATAAATATGAGATTTGCCAATTGCTATTTGTGATATTTTTTTTTTTTTGTTTTTTGCAGGTTATGATAGGCGAGCTGCACATGAGTCATGTTGAATGGAAACAGTTGGCTGCATCATTCGTCCCATGTTTAATTGAACGGACCATCACGAAGGCGAATAACGTGAAGGAAATTGGAGCAAAAGGCGAATGTTCGTATGGCAGTGGGGTTGATAGGAACACGGGTTCAACTAGTGGGACAATTGTAGATGGCAGCATTTTAGGATCCACTAATGGTAATAGACATTGTGGTCAGTGTGCATCTACGTTTGAAGAATACCATAAAGCATTGGCTAAAATTGGTGTGCTCGAGCAAAAACTATGTTGTCAATGTGATGTCATTGTTGATTTAGAGACACAACTTTCAATAATGAGGGCATCAAACGAAGAAAAATGTAGAAAATTAGCACATGAATACACACTATGCAATAACCAGAAGGATTGTGAGATAGAAAGGATGAGGCAGCTAGTGGTTGAGCTTAACGTCAAAAACGCAAAGCTTATGGATCAATTGGAGGAGTATGCAGTGCATGAATATACCCGAGCAGTTGCTGGTATACAGGATATGGTGCAA